CCCCTTTTCTCCTCCCCCAAGGCACGTCCGGGTCGCGCTTTGCACCTCCTCGCATCGCGGCCGCACTCACCAAGCACACGCCCAGCTCCCGCCGTTGCAAAGCCGACGGCCGAGGCATTGACGCTCTGCTCCTCTCTCGCCTCCTTGACCGCCTTCGGCTGCACATCCTCCTCTTGCTCCTCCTCATACTCGCTCCCGTCCTCACTGTCACTCTCGCTCTGTCCCTCCTCCTCCTGCGCCCCCTCGGCAGCCGCGCGCTTGAGAGCGCGCGTGTCGACGAGCGGCGCACCCAGCTCGCGGCCGCGCACATGCGAATGCGACGAGCCTGAGCCGGCGGCGCGCGGCGTGCGCGAGGCGAGCTGTCCGCGTGCGGCGAGACGCGCGGCGAGGAGGGGCGCCAGGTGCGTTTGCGCCATGGCGGGGTGGCCAAGCTGAGGGCGCGAGGAGTAGAGAGAGTGAGAGGCAGAGAGGCGAGGCGAGGCGAGGCGAGGCGAGGCGAGAAGGCCGCGTGCCTCTGCGCTGGCTGGCTGGCTGAGCGTGCGTGGAGGATAAGTACGGCCTTTCGCTCCTTCTCCTCGTCGAGAGCGGCACCGCTAGCCCAATGGATTCAGGCTGCGCGCGGGCGTTTGGCGACGCTATTTCTTAATCACACCATGAGCTGCGGGATCGGTTCCCTGACTGTCGCGTGAGCAGCTTCTTTTTGCTGCGTGTTTTTTGCTGCCGCGTGCTGAGGCGGCAGGGGGCCAGGTGGGGGTGAGGGTGAGGGAGATGGATGGACGGACAGGACGCAAGGCGCGCGGCGCGCAAGAGGCAAGCGCCGCAACGGCCGCCGTGCGGCGCCGCGCGCGTCGCGTGGCGTGCGTGTTGAGGGATGGCGTGGGAACAGCGATGCGGGGCAGCACAGCCGGCGCCGGCGCGAGTGGAGGCCGGCACGGGCAGCGGGGCGCGCCGCTGTCGCCTCGTCTGCCTCCTCATCACCCACCCCTCTGCTCCCTCTCGTTGCCCCACCATGCTGCGCGTCGCCCCACTCGCCCGCGCCGCACCACGCCTGCGCGCCGGCGTCGCGCCCTGCGTCTCGCCGCCGCGTCGCGCCTCCAGCTCGGCCGCCGCCGCACCCGCGTACACGGGCATGTCCGACGCCGGCCTCTCCGAGACGCAGCGCGACGTGCGCCACGCCGTCGGCGCCGTCTGCAGCGCGTTTGGCGACGGTCAGTAAGGCCAAATCAGCGCTGGCATGCAGGAGGGCAGGAGATGCTGGCAAGGGGCCGTTGATGACGAGGCAGGCATGCAAGCCCCCCGCTGAGGAGGCAGCATGCGGGCCTTTGGAGAGAGAGGTAGCAAGCACGGAGCCTCTTTCACCTACAGCGCACCGAGACAGCAGCGCGAGGAGGATCAGGCGGCCGTTGGAGAGCGCAGCCAGCACGGAGCCTCGCCGAGGAGCATCATGGGGGGGGCATCGGAGAGAGGGCAGCAAGCATGGACCTCTCTCTCTCACCTACAGCGCCCCCCTACGCGCTTGTGCCCCCCCACGCGCGACACTTTCTTTTGCTGACGCTGCACCTGTTTGCCCCGCTCGACGCGCCCAAACAGACTACTGGCTGGCGCGCGAGCGCGAGCACAGCTATCCGCACGAGCTGTATGCGGCGCTGCAGTCCGGCGGCTGGCTCGGCGTGGCGCTGCCCGCGCAGCACGGCGGCGCCGGGCTGGGCATTGGCGAGGCGATGATCATGCTCGAGACGATCGCCGAGAGTGGCGCCGGCTTTGCGGGCGCACAGAGGTGAGTTGTGTTTCTGCTGGGCATCAAGCGGCCTAGGGAGGAGGAACGCAAAGGTAGCTGATGCCCCAGATGGCATTCAAGTATACACGCAAACATCTATCCGGTGAGCTAGCTGCTCTTGCGGGACAGGTAATAGAGAGATGCTCATATCGAGAGGGGGGGGGGGGCAAGAACACCATCGCCGCAGAGTTTGGCACGTCGAAACAGCAGGCTGCCTGGCTGCCGGGACTGATTGACGGGCGCATCCGCTCCGGCTTCGCCGTGACGGAGCCGACGACGGGGCTGGAGACGCTCAAGCTGCGCACGCGAGCCGAGCGCAGAGAGGGCGGCTGGCTCATCAATGGGCAGAAGGTGAGGGGTGTGCTTTGCTCTTACCACGCATGGCTTGGCTGGCTCTCATCGTTCGAGCGTGCCTGCACCGCGTGAAAACCAGATCTGGACCTCCTCGGCGCAAGTAGCTTCGCACCTCGTCATTCTGGCACGCACGGCTCCTCCAAGCGACCACAGTCGTTCCTCGGGTCTCTCCCTCTTCTTTGCGCCCATCCGCGACGCGCCCCATGCGCCGGGCGTCTCGGCGCAGCAGAGTGCCCTGCGCAAGGGCGTCGAGATGCGCCGCATCGAAAAGATGGGCGGCAATTGCGTGGATGCCAATGAGGTGAGGGGCGCGCAAGACCAGATCGAAGGTGCAACTGGCGGGCTCCGGCTGATCAGGCTGCCGCACAGATCTGGTTCGACGACTTCGAGGTGGAAGAGAGCTGTCTGATTGGGCCTGCGGAGAATGAGGGCAAGGGCTTCAAGGTGTGTTGATCCCCCCCCCCCCCTTCCCTCGAACTCAGCAAGGTTGAGTGAGAGTGGGCACACGGGGAGAGAGAGAGCTGAAACTGCCCACTCCACACTCACACAAGATGGTGCTGCACGGCATGAATGCCGAGCGCTGTCTCATCGCCGGCGAGGCGTTGGGCCTGGGCTATGCGGCGCTCATCAAGGCGGTCAAGTATGCTCAGGAGCGCGTCGTGTTCGGCAAGGCCATTGGCGGGTGCGTGTGTCGTCCTGCCTGCCCCCACCTTCTTCCCTCCTCTCTCTCTCTCTCTCTCCCCACTCATGTGATGTCGCTCGCTCGAGCAACAAACAGGCATCAAGCAATCCAGCACCAGCTCTCGCGCGCCTTCATCGAGCTGGAAGCTGCCAAGCATCTCGTGCTCGCCGCGGCACGCTCCTACGATGCGCGCGAGGCCGCCGTGGGCGCGCAGGCCAATGCGGCAAAGTACTTTGCGGCCGAGGCGGCGTGGAAGGCGTGCGAGACGGCCGTGCTGGTGCATGGCGGCATGGGGTGAGTTTGCCCCCCCCCCCCTGCTCGCTGCGTTTGAGGGGGGGGGGGGGGAAGAGGGTGTGATGCGGGAGAGAGCAGGCTGACCATGTGCGCGGGACGAGATACAGGTACGCAAAGGAATACCACGTCGAACGCTACCTGCGCGAAGCAATGGCGATGCGTCTGGCGCCCATCTCAAAGGAGATGCTGCTCAACTACGTCGGACAGTCGGTGTTGGGCTTGCCCAAGTCCTACTAAGTTGCCCCCCCTTGCTTGCTTCTGCAGCACAATGCATGTGCTTTCATTTTCACACATCTGCTCCGCCATCCGGAAACAGCCAGTGCATGTCGGCAGTGGCGTGCAGGCCCAGCTGCGCCAGGGCCTCGTCGTTCCAGAAGCGCGAGAGGTGGCGCGCGCCACTGTCGCAGAGCAGCGTGACGACGGTGGGCGGCGTCGTCGCCGCCTCCTTGTCCTCGCCGCCGCCTCGCCGCTCGCTCTGTTGTTGCGCCAGCTTGAGCTTCTGCGCCACGCGCACGGCCGCGACGAGATTGACGGCCGACGAGGAGCCGAGGAACAGTCCGTCTCTGGGGCCAAGCCACCTGCCGCGTCAGGAAGGCGGATCATACGGCGCGCAAAGAAAGGATGGGAACGGGGAGGGGGGCACGCACTCTTGCACCAACCATCGACTCATAGCGACGGCCTCCTGATCCAGCACGCGTTCCGCATCGTCCGTCGCGGGCAGGGCATGCGCAAAGTTGTGCGTCAGGCGATTGAGGCCGATGCCCTCGACGACGGTGTCCGTCTGATGGCGGCGGCGCGTGCCTTCGGCCTCGGTGTGCGAGTATACGACGCCATGTTTGACCTTGTTGAAGAGGCCCGAGCCCTGCGGATCGGCCAGCACGACGTGCACGGCGCCGCGAGACTTGCGCTTCAGGAAGCGAGAGACGCCGGCGAGTGTGCCCTGGGGTTGTGCAAACAACAGCAGTCAGCCCATCGCGCCGCCGCTTACGATGCATTCTCGAGAGAGAGAGAGAGAGAGAAAAGGGGGGGAGAGGGAAACTCACTCCAGTGCCGGCTCCACACACAAAGGCATCAATCATGCCGCCCGTCTGCCGCCAGATCTCGGGGCCCGTGCCGCGGTAGTGCGCGCGGAAGTTGCTCTCGCTCTCAAACTGCCGTTGCATAGATACACCGGAAGAAGGGGGGGGGGGGTGGTGTGATAAGAAGCAGTAGATGAGCGCGCACGATCCTACTTGCGTCTCGCGGCAAGGGGCAAAGCAAGTGTGGTGCCCTTCCAAACTCACCTGATCCGCAAAGAAGCCTCGCGGCTTCTCACTGAGTGCGTCTGCGCCTTCCTCGGCGCCGCCCGTGGCCGTGGAGGAGACAACCACTGCAGCTCCAGGCTTTGCTTGTCCCTCGGACTTCTCTCCCTCTGCCTCCTCCTCCTCCTCCTCCTGATGGCCATGTGCGCCCGGCCCCGCCAACAGCGTGCCGTTGGCGCCGCCAAACGTCTGTGCCAGTCTGCGCGCTTCGTTGACGAACTAAAGTCGGGCCAGATTGTCATGAGCCCCCTCCCCGAGAATTGAGCGGGCAAGGAGAGGGAGACGCAAAGCGGAAACTCACGTGTGCCGGATCCGCAATCGCTCGAGGTCGCACGGCTCTCAGCTCTGCGCCAAGCGCCGCGAGCATCTCCTTTTTCTCGCGCGCCACATCGTCCGGCATGACCTGTGTGATCGAGCCAAGTGAAAGCCAGCCATCAGTGCCCTGGTGCGCGAGCGAGAGGGGGGGGGGGGAAAGAGGGCGGAGGCAGGCCCCTATCTGCAAACGCACAATGCTGCAGCGATAGCCCTTTGCACGCGCCAGCATGGCGAGGGAAATGCCCGTGCTGCCCACGCTGCCCTCGAAGACACAGCTGTTGGTGCGTGGATGCAGCTGTCCGGAACGCTCGGCGTCGTTGAGGACTGGAAGGAGCCAAAAGGGGGGGCCGCGAAGAGGTGGCGATTCAGTTCCTCTGGCGTTTCTCTCTCTCTCTCTCTCTCTCTCTCTCTCTCTCTCTCTCTCTCTCTCTCTCTCTCTGGAGACGGAAGAAGGATGCCTGATGGTCACGCACTCTGCAGCGCGACACGATCCTTGGGCGAGCCTCCCGGGTTGAGAAACTGCGTTGATGCGTCGAGCATGATCGGGATGCGAGAGTGAGAGGACGCGGTGCTAGGCACTGTGCAGAAAGCCGCACCTCTGCCTTTCCGAGAATGTCGCAGCCCGTGAGACGCGAGAGCGAGGCGATGCGGATGAGCGGCGTGTTGCCTGTGTGGCGATGGAGAAGTGGAGGAGAAAGGGAGGGGGTGAGAAGGGTTGATGACTTTTCTGGAGGCGAGTGAAGCGGAGAAGCAGAAGGGCGCAAAAGCAGAGTGACGCCCGGGGGGGGGGGGGGGGGGGAAGAGGGCACGAGTGGGGGCTGGCATAGAGACGTGGGCCGCCCAGCTTCGGTCTCCCGTTGCACGTTTCTCCCTCTCTCTCTCCCAGCTTCGGTCTCCCGTTGCACTTCTCTCTCCCTCTCCTGCACTCACCAATGGCGCCCTGCACGCCCCTGACGACCTCTCCCTTTCTGACCTCAATCACCTCCCACTTCTCCTCCTCGCCACTCTCACTCTCACTGCCACTCTCCTCTCCATCCTCTCTGCCCGCAGTAAAGCGCCGCGCCCGCCGTCCGCCCAGGCCCTGCGCGGCGCGCGCGCGCGCAATGCGGCGCTTCTCGCGCACCGAGGCGGCGAAGAGGGCGGTGGAGAGGGAGGCGAGCGAGAGGGTGAGGCCGGTGAGCAGGCCGAGGAGGAAGAGGGAACGCGGCATGGGAGATGGAGATGCGCAGACTGGAGGTGAGCGGTGAGAGGTGAGAGGCAAAGAGACAGGCAAGCAGTGCATATGCAGCGTGCTCATCGTCGAGGCGAGCCTCTCGCTCTGCTCGCTGCGCCTCGCCCGACTCCCGCGCGACGCGGAGGTGGAGGCGGGTGAGTTGGTCAGCCACGCGCATGACGCCGAGGCTGAGGGTCCTTCCTCTTCGCGGCCCGAGCTTCGCTTCCTTCTCTCCACTGCGCACCGCCGCACACGCAGCATCCAGCACACGCCTCCGCATCGCCGCTTCTTTCTTCCCACTTGCACTTCCCAGCATCCTCTTCTCGCTCCCGCACACTCACTCGCCTCGCATCTGTTCCGGCCCCTCTTGCATTGCCCTCCACCTGCGCGCCCCTCATCCAAATGCCGCCCTCTCTCTCCTCGCTCCTCGCGCCCTTCCCGCCCAGCACGCATGCCGCCCTCGCGCGCCTGCACGCCGCCCTCGCCGCGCCGCAGCCGCCGCTCGTCGCGCTGCACGCCCTGCCGCACTCGGCGCGCGCCGCCGTCGCCGTCGTCCTCTTCCTCGACTGCGCCGCCCATCCCGCCGCCTTCCGACCATTTGTCTCGCCCTCCGAGGCCGAACGCGGCAGCGGCAGCAGCGCAGAGGAGGGGAAGCCCGAATGGCTCGTGCTCCTCACGACGCGCTCCCTCACCGTCGGCTCGCACCCCGGCCAGGCCAGCCTGCCGGGCGGCAAGATGGAGCGCGGCGAGGATGCGCGGCGCACGGCGGCGCGCGAGATGCGCGAGGAGATTGCCCTCGATGTCAGAGAGGGCGCCGTCGAGGTGGGAGAGGGCAAGAGCTGTGAGTTTGCTTGAGTACCGGTGGACAAGAAGGTGCAAAGGATAGCACGGCGGACGGATAGGCGAAAGACGGAGACTGCGGCGCACAGAGTGTGGAAGGAGAGAGAAGGGGAGAAGGGGGGGGGGGGGGGTCCAGAGCACGTCAGTGGCACATTGGCTGGACCTTTTCCCCCACACGAGGGCCCTTTCCATAGATGGGGGGACACCGAGGCCCACGTTCGTCGTGCTACTGCAGCCTATGCGACGCTTGGCGCGCGAACGACTTGTCTGCTCAAGCGTAGGTTTACCAGGGGCCGTGCTCTGTGTGTGGCCGACCGTTTTGAGACATGCTGAGAAGCGCATGCTGGGGGACTGTCGCTACTCTTCGAAACAACTTGGAGTGCCTCATTTCGCTCCAAGCTGGCTTCTGAGACGGCAGTGATCTCTCCCCTGTATACTTGCCCTTCAAATTGCCCGACTGATCCCAACCCCCCTCTGGCCAGTCCTCTCCAAGACCAACCTTCTCGTCACTCCAATCTTCTATCTGCTGCCTCCCTCTTTCGCGCAGCGAGCGCTGCCCAAGCTGCGTGCCTGTCCTTGCGAAGTGGCGGCGATGTGGGCGTACCCACTGCGCGCCTTGCTCTCCTCGCACGCGCCGCAAGCGCCGAGGCTGCGCCTCCAGCACCCGACGAAAGTCGACCGCCATCGGCCGCCGCAGGAGGCGTTTCGCACGTGGAGCGACGTGCCGTGGATGCATGGAGGCACGTATCGACTGCATCGCTTTCGCAGTGGGTGCGTACCCTTCTCACACACATCTGTCCCCCACCTCGCCCCTTCGGCCCGGGCTGACTTGCGCTGTCCTGGCAGGCATGAGCTAGTCAAAGGTCTCACGGCCGACATTCTCCTCTACGCCACCACGCTGCTCCTGGACAAGCCGGCATTTGACATTCTCTCGCCGACGCAGCCGAGCTGGGAGCAGGTGGTGCAGGGCATGGTGGAGCGCATGCAGCGCAATGAGGGCAGAGGCAGGAAGAGATGGGGCGATGGAGAGAGTGGCGACAAGGAGGGCGAGGCGCAGAGGTATGCGACGTGCGTGGGCAGAGATGGCGTGGAGACTTCGGGTTGAAAGGAGGTGTAATGAGACAAACATAGAGATCAGACGAGGGAGGAGGCATCGAGGCGATGGGGGCTGAAGCAACATGAGCGAGATAGACGCGCGGTAGTCTTCGGAGGCCTTGGACGCGGGTGCCAGGCATGGAGTGTGTGGCAACGTCGTTGGCGCCGCTACCTGCGCGCCCCAGATGGGAAGAGAGTGGAGGGGCACATATTGCTGTCTTCACATGCAAGCGATGTGCAGTCAGCTGGAGGAGCAGGTGAGGCAACGCCCCGCCCCAAGATGCCCTGCCGTGGACATCGGCGGGGGTGCGTGGCGCGCGCGCGTGCGAGGCCAAAGCAGCGCGCCTTGCGCCGTGCTGTGGCAGAGGCGCATGTATGCTCCCCTCCCTCATCCCCCTCCGTGCCTTCTGCGCTAGGCCCATGTCGCACCCCGTTCCTCCCTCTGCTTCCTCGCCCGAGATGTTTCACGCACTCATCGCTGCGCCTGCTGGGCCCTCGTGCGTGTTGTGTGGCTCTCTCTCTCTCCTCGCTCTCTCTCGCTCTCCATGCGTGGAGAACTGATGCCTCCGCTCTCCGCCGCGCGGCCGTCACTCCAGACGCGAGACAGTGCTTGCGTCGCTCGAGTCGCTCGCCGAGCTCTTTCTCGAGCAGATGGACGAGGCACTGCACTCTGCTGCGTCCCACTCCGCTTCGGCGACAGCGGCTGCTGCCGAGGGCCAGCAGGGCGATGCCTCGCCGCCGCAGCCGCAGCCACGCGCCAGCGCACAGCCGCCGCCGCCGCCCATCCGCCTGCTCCTCGAGCCGGCGCGCGCCACTCGCGCCAACAGCAGCGCCGGAGCCACGGCGCTGCTCTTTCCCCGCCGCGCGCCGCTGGGCACACAGCGCCTCGGTGAGGCTGCGCCATCGGAGGGCGAGTGTTCATCCATCGGCCATTGACGCTGACATGGCAGGATCTTGGCACCGCCCCCCCCCCCCCCCTTGAACCCCACAGCCCAGCTCTTCGCCGTGCTCGCCGAGATGCATCGCGCCGTGACGGCACGGCGGATCGTGACGAAGCGGCACGTCGCAGCTCCCCTTTTTGCACCCTCTCTTAACTTGGCCACGCAAGCTCACTCCAGCCCCCTGATCCCAACCCTCTTTTGCCGCGCGCGCGCGCCCTCACAGCGACATCTTCTACCGCACGCCGCCGCTCTTCGGCTCGCAGGGCGTCGTGGATCGGCTCGTCGACTGCCTCAGCGCCACGCTGGGGCATTCCACGCGCGCGCTCGGCGTCGTCGCCTCTTCCAAGGGCCTCTGGAGCGGGCGCCTCATGCTGCACATGCTCGACGGCACACGCCTGCAAGGCTTCTCGCCGACGGAGCGCGGGGCGCAGCCGGAGCTCCTCGTGCCGGACTCGCATGCGCTGCGGGAGCTGCAGAGCGACGCGCAGTGGATCGCCGTGGTGGAGAAGGACGCGGTGTTTCGCAGAGTGAGAGGGCAAGAGGCAAGACTGAGGCCGCTGCTGGAGGGCCATGGCGTGCTGGTCACTGTCAGTTACGGCACTGTGCTCTCCGCACAGCAATCGAGCAAAGGGCTGACTGCAAGTGCCTGGGCAAAAGGGCAAGGGCTATCCTGATGCTGCCACTCGACGCTTCCTGAGGCTGCTGCACGAGCACTTGCCACAGTCAGTGTGAAGCGCATTGCCAAAAGGTCGCTCCCGCAGCGTCAGCTCATTACAAGCTGCCCCGTCGCCAGTCTGCCGCTCTACGCCCTCGTCGACAACGGTGCGTGTGCCCTCCTGCTTGTCAACGTGGCCGGGTCCAGCGTTGCAGCCCGGTCATCTGACGATTGCCAGCTTTGCTTCTCCTTCTTGCTCGCGCGGGCAGATCCGGCGGGCATCGACATTGCGCGCTGCTACCGCTTCGGCACTGCCTCTCTGGCCACCGACGATGGCGCGTCTCTTGCTCTGCCTACGCTGCAACTGCTACAGCCTGCGTTTGACGGCTTCGACACTGGGTGTGTCCTCCTGTCACACTGCTGCTCGCCCACATCGAGCTTGGCACGCAAAAAGACTGACTGAAGCCCTCCTCCTCGTTTACCCCCCCCCCCCCGGTCCCAGCGACGTGCAAACCGCACTGCCTCTCAACGACTTTGATCGCACAAGGGCTCGCAGTCTGCTGCGCCTTGCGCAGCTGCCGCAAGAGTGGCGCATGCGCCTGAGCAACATGCTCTTCACGGGCTTCAAGGCCGAGCTGTAAGCCAGGCCGAGCGAGGCCAGAGCGATCTCCCCCCGCAGTGCCAAGGGGGTGCGTGCTCCCACTCTGCCCCCTTTTCAGCGCTTGACTGGACTCGCACTCACAGCTGTCCTGGCTCCCCTCTGCAGCTGCGTCTCCATCGCCTGTTCCCTTGCACATCGCGCACCTCTGGCATGCGCTGCCCGCCGCTGCGTCCCAGCGCACCTGGGCCTCTCTCTCTCTCCATACATACCAAGATGGCTCTCCAGTCACCCGACGCCCTTTCCTTTCCGCTTTCTACTCGCCACACACTGTCTCGCCTCTCCGGCACCTTCGCGCTAGCGCCGTACTGAGTGGTGGACTCGGCTCGGCGGCCGAATATGCATTTTGATGCCTCTACATCTAGCCCTTGTGCCCTGCATCCTGGGTGCCGCGCCTACTCGTTGAGGAGGGCGAGGATCTCCGAGTCCTTGATGAGCAGGTATTCCTGTGCGCAGGTGTGGACGTGTCAGCGCCATTGCCTCGGCGCGCCTTGCATGCCCACGCCCTCACCTCCTCGCCGACCTTGATGCTGTTGCCGCCCCAGCCGGGCAGGAGGATCTTGTCGCCGGCCTTGACGTTCATGGGGATGATCTTGCCGCTGTCGTCGCGTGCGCCCGGGCCCACGGCAATGACGCTGGCCTCGGGCAGCGGCGTCTGCGTCGCGGCCGAGGGCAGAAAGAGGCCCGAGGCCGTCTTTGCCTCGGGCTTGAAGCGCTGCACCAGCACACGGTCCAGCAGCGGCACGACGGACTTGATGGAGCGGATCGTGGACTGCGCAAGCAAGATTAGCGCGCCGTGAGGGGGTGTGAGCGGCCAGAGCGCTGCTCACGGAGGCCATGGTGTGAGATGCGGGTGTGGTGCAGAGGCAAAGAGCAAGAGCGCGGGGGCGCGTGCGAGAGGCAAGACGAGCGAGCGGCAGCCAACTCAAGGCGCACTCGCGGCTGACGCTGACGCTCGGCATTAGCCGGCCCGCCGGCGCGGTGGCGACGCGCCAGGCGGCGCCGAAGAGCGCCGATGCGCCAGGCTTCGCGCATCTTCCAGGCGCCTCGGGCGCGCCGGTGCGGAGCGGCCCGCCACGCTCGGCGGTGGCTGAGGCAGCTCGACTTTCTTGGCCGGCGCCGCCGCGGGGAAGAAGCATCAGCAGCGGCAAGCTCACTCTGCTCACGCCTCTCCACCACCATCCCCTACCCCCCGCCATGTCGCTCCTCTCCTCCTCTCTCGGCCGCAACGCCGTGCGCGCCTCGGCGCTCCTGCCCGCCGGCGCCGCCTCGGCCGTGGCAAAGGCCAGCTTTGTGCGTTGGCCGCCGCACTGCGCCATCAGCCCCATGCTGACCCGCCCGGCAGAGCTCCAGCAGCGCCGTCGCCGCGCACAAGGAGGTCAAGTTCAGCAACGACGGCCGCGCCGCCATGCTGCGCGGCGTCAACCTGCTCGCCAACGCCGTGTCGGTGACGCTCGGCCCCAAGGGTGCGTGTGGACGGCGCAGCACAGCGGCCGGGCATGCGCTGACGCGCAGACTGCAGGCCGCAACGTGATCATCGAGCAGGCGTACGGCGGGCCCAAGATCACCAAGGACGGCGTCACCGTGGCCAAGAGCATCACGCTCAAGGACAAGTTTGAGAACCTGGGCGCGCGTCTCGTGCAGGACGTCGCCAACAAGACCAACGAGGTCGCCGGCGACGGCACCACGACGGCCACGGTGCTGGCGCGCGCCATCTACGCCGAGGGCGTCAAGAACGTCGCCGCCGGCTGCAACCCGATGGACCTGCGCCGCGGCTCGCAGGCCGCCGTCGAGGCCGTCATCCAGTTCCTCGAGAGCAACAAGCGGGCGGTGACGACGAGCGAGGAGATCGCACAGGTGAGTGCCCAGCGACACGTGTGCGCCGCAGCAGCAGCATGCCTAATGCGCCACGGCAGGTCGCCACCATCTCGGCCAACGGCGACCGCCACGTCGGCCAGCTCATTGCCACGGCCATGGAGAAGGTCGGCAAGGAGGGCGTCATCACCGTCAAGGAGGGCCGCACGCTCGAGGACGAGATTGAGATCACCGAGGGCATGCGCTTCGACCGCGGCTACATCTCGCCGTACTTCATCACCGACGTCAAGACGCAGCGCGCCGAGTTTGAGAAGCCGCTGATCCTCCTGTCGGAGAAGAAGATTTCGCTGCTGCAGGACATTCTGCCGAGCCTCGAGGCGGCCGCGCAGGCGCGCCGCCCGCTGCTCATCATTGCCGAGGACGTCGACGGCGAGGCGCTTGCGGCCTGCATCCTCAACAAGCTGCGTGGCCAGCTGCAGGTGTGCGCCGTCAAGGCGCCGGGCTTCGGCGACAACCGCAAGAGCATCCTGGGCGACCTCAGCATCCTCACCGGCGGCACCGTGTTCAGCGACGAGCTCGAGACGAAGCTCGACCGTGCCACGCCCGAGCTGCTCGGCACGGCCGGCAGCGTCACCATCACCAAGGAGGACAGCATCTTCCTCAACGGCGAGGGCGACAAGAGCGCCCTCGAGGCGCGCTGCGAGCAGATCCGCAGCGCCATCAACGACACGACGACGAGCGAGTACGACCGCACCAAGCTGCAGGAGCGCCTCGCCAAGCTGAGCGGCGGCGTGGCCGTCATTCGCGTCGGCGGCTCGAGCGAGGTCGAGGTGGGCGAGAAGAAGGACCGCTACGACGACGCCCTCAACGCGACGCGCGCGGCCGTCGAGGAGGGCATCGTGCCGGGCGGCGGCACTGCGCTGCTCAAGGCCACGCAGGCCCTCGAGGCGCTCAAGCCCGCCAACTTCGACCAGCAGCTTGGCGTGTCGATCATCCGTGCGGCGCTCTCGCGCCCCACGCGCCAGATCGTCGAGAATGCCGGCGAGGAGGGCTCGGTGGTGGTGGGCCGTCTGCTGGAGAACCCGGGCGACTTTGCCTACGGCTACGACGCCAGCGTGGGCGAGTACAAGGACATGATTGCCGCCGGCATCCTCGACCCGCTCAAGGTGGTGCGCACGGCGCTGCAGGACGCCAGCGGCGTCAGCTCGCTGCTCTTCACCAGCGAGTGCTGCGTCGTCGAGGCGGAGGAGGACAAGCCGGCACCGGGCGGCATGGGCGGCAGTGAGTATGCGGCGATGGCGGGCGCTGCGGCACGAGCTGACGACCTTTCTTCCTCTCTCTCTCTCAGTGGGCGGCATGGGCGGCATGGGGTGAGCATCTGCGTCGCTCTGCGTGTGCCTGCTCGTTGCTGACCTCTCTACTCGCAGCGGCATGATGTAAAGTCGTTCCTAGATGGAGAAACAAACACACAAAACGGCGCGCTCCAGTCTCTCATGTCACACTATCATGCCAACATGCAGCACCTATTCGCAAATGCCACCACTCTTCATGACGCTTGCACATTCGTGATGGGCGAGCAGCTCTGCATGGGATGAGCAGGGGTATGCGATTGAGCACGCACAGCAGGCGAGTGCGAGCAGTCCAGAGTCGAAGAGGCGGAGAGGTGAGGTGAGGTGGCTGCGTAGACCCAGCCACTCTTCTGGCGCCGAGACCGCTTTGTGTGCCAATCTTGGCCTTGGCGGACACATGGCCGGCGCGGCGCGCCAGCAGCTGATCGTCATGCGGACGGCACCACAGCCTGATCGCCTGGCGGACTGGCTCTCCTGTCACCCCACACTGTATTCCAGGCCTCCTCTCAGCACACGACTCCACGCTCATCACTGCAGCGCACGTCTATAGATATTGCACGTGCTCCGCTTTGGTCTGCCTCACTACACGTAGCGCTCGGTCAGGGCAATGCCCTCCTTCTCGAGCTCGAGGCGGATCGGGTCGCACACCTCGACGGTGTAGGGCGCGACGATCTTGCCTTTCTGCTTGATGGCCGGGTGGTCCTCGAGCAGCAGCTTCGTGGCAATGGCGCACGGCACGCCGACGAGGCGCGCCATGGACGTGTGGCCGCCCGGGTGGCCGTAGTCGAGGAGCGTGGAGGTGAGCGTCTTGGCCTCGCCGTCCTTGGTCTCGATCTCGAAGCGGTGCTGCAGCATGACCATGTCGCGCTCGCCCGCCTCGTAGCGGCACTTGTCCTCGAGCGACGCGCAGAGCGTGTCGAGCAGGTTGCCGAAGCCGGCCTTGTTCTGTGCCGGCGTGCCGCGCACCGTCGCCTTCTCGCTCTCGGAGAAGAGGCCGAGCCAGCGCAGGCCACGCAGCACCGTCGTGCGCTCGGCGTCGTTCTTGAACGCGCACTTGGCCTCGATGGCCTTCTGCAGCGTCGCCGGCGACGCGTCCGACGTGCCGAGCATGCGCGCCGTCACCTGCGGCCACGAGAAGTCCTTGCCCGCCACGAGCCACTCCTTGGCCGAGTCCGAGTCGTCGAGGAAGCCGATGCGCACGAGCGCCAGCACAAACTCGGGGAAGCCCTGGTAGCGCAGCGTGCCGCGGATGCACGTCTCGGCCTCGGGGATGCCGTAGTACTCGCGGAACGGCGTGCTGTCGCGGTTCGGGTACGCGACAAAGGCAAAGGCGGGCGAGATGTAGTAGCTCTGCGCCGCGGCCATCAGGTCGATGCCCGACACGCTCTTCTCCTCGCCGTCGGCGTAGAACTTGGCCGTGTTGCGCAGCGCGAGCAGCACGCCGCGCGACGACCACGAGAACTTGTAGCCGAGCGGGTTGTCGGCCGCCTCGGGCGCCGGCAGGCCGCCGCAGTACGAGAGGAACGACTTGATCTTGCCGCCCTCGGCGTGCACGTCGGCGATGGCCTTGACGGCGTACAGGTGGTCGATTCCGGGGTCCAGGCCGATCTCGTTCATCACCGTGATGCCGGCACGCTCAATCTCGGGCGCCAGCTCGCGGATCGCGTCCGAGACGTACGACGTCGTGACGACGTCGGTCTTGTGCTCGCAGGCGGCGCGGATGACGGCGGCGTGGTAGGTGTAGGGGATGAGCGAGATGACGACGTCGTGCGCGCCGATGGCGGCGCCGAGCGCGGCGTTGTCGTTGACGTCGAGCGAGACAGCGGTCGTGCGCGGGAGCGCGACCGACAGGCGCTGCGCGTTCTCGAGGTGGGCCGACGCTGCCGCACAGCATCAGCACAGATCAGCGCATGACGCTGCGAGCCCACTCACCGACAGTCAGCTCGTACTCGGCGTAGCGCAGAATGTACTCGGCAAAGGGGCGGGCGACGTAGCCCGAGCCCAGCAGCAGGATCTTCTTCTTCTGGCGCTCGACCGGCGACTTGCCGTCGCCGCTGGCCACCGTCGGCGGCGGCGCGTGCTCGCCGTCCTCGATGACGCGGCGAGCGAACTCGGGCGTGACGAAGGCGGCCGAGTGCACCTTGTCGTTGTAGTAGCGGCAGCCCTCGACGCGGCGCACGGGCGTCTTGACGTCGCGCGTCGGCTCGAGCGAGCAGACGATGACGCCGATCTGGCCGGCGGGGTACGTGGGGATTGTGGTGAAGGCGTACTCGGCGACGGGGAAGAGCTCCTTGGTGCTCTTGCGCAGCTCGCGGATGAGCGGCAGGTGCAGCCAGAGGCACTCGGCCTGCGTCGACACGTGGCCGCCGGGCTTGAGCGCGCCCTTGAGCAGCTTGAAGAACGGCGGCTGGAAGAGCGAGGCGGCAGGGCCGACCGGGTCCGACGAGTCGGTGATGATGACGTCGAACGAGGCGAGGTTCTCGGGGCGCTGCAGGTACTCGAAGCCGTCGCCGATGATGACCTTGACCTTGGGGTGCTCGAGGCCGACGGCCATCTTGGGCAGGTACAGCTTCGAGACACGCGGCACGGCCTGGAGCAAGATGGTTCAGCATCGCTCTGCAACGCCAGCCACACACACACCACCACGCACCTCGTCAATGTCGCAGAGCACGGCCTCCTCGACGCTGGGGTGCTTGACGACCTCGCGCAGCACGCCGCCGTCGCCGCCGCCGATGACGAGCACGCGGCGCGGGTCGGGGTGCGAGGCGAGCGGCAGGTGCGCAATCATCTCCTGGTACGAGAACTCGTCGCGCTCCGTGCACTGGATCACGCCGTCAAGCACGAGCACGTTTCCCTGCAGCAGCGCGCGTGAGCTCCCGGAAGGGCAGTGGGGCAAGCGCAGGCACGCACGTAGTCCGTGGACTGGAAGACGAGCACGTCCTGGAAGGCGCTCTGCTCGGTGTGCAGGATGCGCTGCACCTGCAGCGACATGGCCTGGCCGGGCCACTGCGAGTTGGCTGCGGGTGGAGAGGGTCAGCGAGGCATGCTCAGGGCGAGCGAGAAGAGTGCGGGCGGGCGGGCCAACGTGCGGCCCAAGCGACACTGCAGGCGCTGCCTCCGACCGCTCCGCTACCACGGCGACGCACCCTCGTAGAACCAGCCGTCTCTGATCTGGGGGTGCGAGAGAGTCATGATGGGTGTTGGTGGGCGGAAGGCAGGCGGGCCGAGCTACAGCAGCGCACGTCGCTTGCCTCGCGAACTTCTCGAGCCGGCACCGCCGCGGCAAATTGGCCGACACGTGACCGCTCCCGGCCGGCGGCCAGTGTCGCGCGGCGCGCACGGGCGCCGGTCAGCGGCGCCATCAGCGAGACGTCGTCGAGTCGGCGCAGCGAGCGCTCCATCCTCAGCTCCTCATCCCTCGACAGCAGCCGCACACCCTCGCACATCCACGCCTTGCTGCGCACGCGCGCCTCTTGCGCCGCCAGCTGTCCTTCGCAGCGCCGCCTCCTCCTCGTCAGCCTCGCACCAGCATGTCGGCGCTCTTCAACTTCCGCTCGCTGCTCCTCGTGCTCGTGCTGCTCATCTGCACCTGCACCTACGTGCGCGCCACCATCCCGCGCCTCGTCGACCGCAACCAGAAGGGGTGAGTGCCGGTGCAGCGCATGTGCAGCGAAAGGAGTGCGGCGCTGACGCTGCGCTGCTCTCCGCTCGCCAGCTTCCTCGGCGTCTTCTACAAGTGTGCTCGGATAGGTGCGTCTCCAGCCGCTGGTCACCCTTTCGGAGCGTGGAGCGGCATCCGGGCACTTCGGGTCCGGCGACGAGTCAGTCTCTCGGCGCTGCTCTTGTGCAGCTTTCGATTGGTGCCATCGAGGGCGACTTGCGTTGCTCTCATGCAGCAGCGACGTCTCAGCCTCGTGGCAGCGCTCGAGACGCCGCCCTCGTGGAGCTGCAGCTGCCGCTCGGCTGCCGCTCAGGCGCCTGTCGCTGCACTGCTTCGCGCAGATGTACTCTGACGGCGCATAAGCCTCCTGACGCTGCTGTGGACGCACGCTGGAGTGGCGCTCAGAGCCTCGTCTGCCTCGTCGGCGCTCGACTCTGCTGCTGACGCGTCCTTCCTCTCTTTTCAGGCGAGCGGCTATCGCCGTACGTGTCGCTCGCGTGCATCATCATGGCGTGCAACGTGGCGCTGCGCGTCTAGCTGCGGCTCAGGGTGGAGGGGCGAAGGGACCGAGTGGGGCGAAGGGACGGAGTGGGGCAAGAATGTGATGAGATGGTCATTGATATGGATGAAGAGGTGACGCATGTGTGAGTGTGAGAATGTTCCGAGACACGGAGTGCGGAGAGAGATCGAATGAAGGAGGGAGAAGCGAATGAGGAAGACGGGAGAAGCGAATGAGGAAGTAGGAGAAGAAGCAAGACGAAGCGAGGAGGGGAAGAGGAGAAGGAGGAGAGCGAAGCAGGAGGCTCACTCGGCCTCTCCTCCGTGCTCGCTGCGTGCCTCGATGTGCTGGAGCTCCTTGCGCAGCTGCTTCTGCTTGGCAGCACGCACTTGCGGCGGGCCAGCCACGTCGAAGAGCAGCGCCTTCTTGCAGTTTGCGGCGCCGCAGCGGCAGTAGATCGGCTCGAGCTCCGGCTCGGCAGGCGCATCGTCGTCCTGCGCTGCCTCGTCCTGCTCTGCTTCTCCCTCGACGTCGGAGTCGGCGAGGCGACGAGCGTCCTCGTTCTGCTTCTGCTTCTGTGTCGCTTTCTTGATGTTGCTCTTGTCCTTGCCGGAGTACCTGAAGGTGAGCTCCTCGCCTGCCTCGACATCACGGATGGTGAAGAACGACGGGTGGTAGTGGCGGAAGTCGCGCGACGAGAGCCACACTGGCCAGATGGCCATGTTCGGGTCGCAGCTCGAGTTGAAGTAGCGCGAGGCGTTGCCCCACAGGCAGCCGTCGACGGCGAGATGATCGTGGTCGTGCGTGCACGCTTCTGCGGCTCGGTCTGCCCAGACTTCACCTTGCATCAGCGCAGCTCTCAGCCGAGCCGCAGCGCTCTGACTCACTGTCTTCATCTCCTTCGTTCATCGCCTCCACTCGTGCCTTCTCTTCTCGCACCCACGCCTCGCCGTGCTTCTCGGCGAGCGCTCTCTCGTACGGCTCGACGTGGCACTTGAGCCTCGTCAGGTGGCTGTCGAGGTCGAGGAGGTAGTTGAGCCTCGCTGCCTCGTACGTCGTGCCGCGGAGCTCTTCTTCCTTGACGGTGATGAGCTCGCCGGAGTAGAGACAGACGAAGGTGCCCTGAGCAAAGCGTCAGCCGGCACGCGCAGAGGCCCGAGCGCGCAGATGCAGACTCACCTTCGGCACAGCGTCGATGGTCCTCACACCCCAGCCCTTCTCCTTCGTCTTGAAGATGTCAAGGCCGACGGTGCGTCCTCGCTGCACGACGCGGTTCGGGCACGCGCTCAGGTCGCAGCCGCAGTACTCGTTGCACTCCCAGATCGGCATGTCGGTGAACGTGCTGAACGGCTCCTGCAGACGGCCGTTCTCGTCGTAGGCGCTGTGTGAGACGGCATCAGCAGCATGACAGCGAGCAGACGGTGCGCATGCATGAGCGACAGTGTCGCTGCTGTTCTTCGCAGCAACAGCGCCGCATCCCATCATCCTTCGCAGCAGACAGCGCGCATGGAGAGACCTCGTCGCAGCGACAGCCTAGCGCCGGGCCCTTCCGCAGCGAGAGCGACAGCAACAGCGCCGCACACCTCGCAGCAACAGCGCCGAGTACTCACAAGAAGTGCTTCTTCCCTCTAGACCCGCGCGTAGCTTCCTCTGCATCCATCATCTTATACTGATCCGGATAGAACTGCCGGCCGATGGTCTGACACGCGCACGTCGCCGGCTCGCACTCGTCGTCGTCGCAGTCGCAGCCACGCTGCATGCCGTCCGGCAGACGTAGAGCCGGCAGTCCCGGCGTGTAGATGTAGCGGTCCGTCCAGCAGAAGTCGCACGGCGGGCACGGCTCGAAGTCGACGTCGTTGCTGATGCGGATGTCGGCGATGCTGTTCTGCTCGCTCTCTCGGATGTACGCACGGAACACCGCAGTGAAGCGAGCGTCGAGCTTGCTCCACGGACGAGTGAGCTGGATGCGCTGCAGCGTGTCGGGCAGGCGCCAGGCTGCCTTGCGCGACGGCGAGAGGAACTTGACCTCGGCGGACGCGGCCGTCGGGCGAGGAGCGACAGCGGCGGCGGGCGCCTGCGCCGCGTCGCGCGCGGCGCGGCTGCTGCCAGACGTGGAGGCTGTGTCCATGTCGGCGTCGACGACGAAGCGCAGAGCGCGCAGAGGCGAGGCAGCGAGAGGGAGGGAGGTGGTGGTGGTGATGATGAGGTCGCGGCGCGGCGCTCGCGGCGCTCGAGCCGCCGGCCGCCGCCGCGCGGCGCGCGGCGCCGAGACGCGTCTCGCGCTGTGCTTCTCACCTTTCCTTCCACCACCTCACACCTCGACTAGCCTCCTGGGCCGCACGACTTCTTGCAGAATAGGACGACATCTCGACTGTCGGCGGCCATGTCCAACTTCCACGCCCTCTCGCCAGTCGGCTCGCCGTCGGAAGCGTCGGGCTCGCAGGAGCGTGCGCCGCGCATGCGCCCGCCGCGCGACGACAATCCCTTCCTCTCGCCCTCCTCCTCGCCCGTGCGCCGGCGCCGCGCTGCGCCAGCGTCTAGCACACGCTTCGAGCTCGATGACGAAGAGCCGCTCAACGAGATGGCAGGCCTCGGCGCCTTTGACCCGCCAGGCACGGATCCGGCAAAGGCGCATACTCGCCTGCAGAACGCCTGGGTCGCAGAGCGTGCGGCACCCGAGCTGCTGCGCTGGGAAGGCACGCTGGTAGACGAGGTGTGCGGCGACATCGAGGAGCGCGTGGTAAGTGGCAGCGCAGGCAGGCGTGGACGCAGTGCCTAGAGCATGGAAAGTGGCTGCTCGAAGGCGCAGCTGCAGTGTGCTCCTCGATGAGCATGTGCCCTGGTGTGGAGCAGCAAGGTGATGCCGCTTGGTGTCCGAATGCTTCGGGCCTCCTCGAGCGACGGCACGCCAGTCGCAGTCAGCACGGCAGCATGGCGGCCAGGAGCGTGTGTAGGAACAGAGCTGTGACCGATGCTCAGGCGCTCGCTGCTCGCTGCTCGCTGTCCGCTGCGCTCGCTGGGATCTGCGCTCACCGCTACTCGCTCGCAGCGCATCATGGAGGAGCTGGCGCCCGACGAAGGCACGTCGGCGGAGGAGCACGTGCGCCTCGGCATCGTTGCGCTCGACATCGAGCGAGCACGCTGGCTCGTCAGGTCCTACGTCCGAGCACGGATAGCAAAGGTGAGTGCGGTTGCTGTCACTTGGGAGAGCTCGAGGAGCAGAAAGAGCAGGCCAGAGCCTCGCGAAGGAACGCAGCTGCGAATGAGCAGCTCAGGGCGAGGCAGCATTGCCGCCATCTGAGCACCTGAGGCTTGCAGAAGATGTAGCACTGCTGACCACGTCGCTCTCTGCAGGTCGAGCTCTTCTCCGCACATCTGGCCACCAGCGCCGAGGCACGGCGAAACCTGTCTGATCTAGAGCGCAGCTACGCCGAGAAGTGCGTGCTCATCGACGTCACGATGGCTTCGTTGTCTCCGCTGACATAGTCTCGGCCTGGCTTCAGGTTTCAAGAGCTGCAGGACAAGCACCTGCGAGCGACTGTCGCAGACTTCCTGCCGCCAAGTCTGCGAGATCTCGACGTTGTGGAGGGCTCGCAGACTGGTGCCGGCAGCATGAGTGAGTGCCGACTGCTCGCTTCGACGTCTGCCGCGGGCTCACGTCCATGCGCCCAGTCATCACGCCCGACCTCAATGCGCCCGTCTTCATTCGCTGTCGCGTCGAGTGCGGCGACGTGCGCATCAACGCCGAGTGAGTTGTGTCGAGCTGTGCTCGCTTCGGGGGTAGCGCGCTGATGCATCGCTGCGCAGAGGCGAGAATGCGTCGCTGCGAGCAGGAAGCATACACCTGCTGCGCTACCGCATCGTCCGACGGCTCATCGCGTCTGGGCACGTCGAGATGCTGTGATAATGCATGGCTCGAGACACAGCGGATCACGCAATGCCGTAAGAGGGATGCGATGGATTCAGGGGTGGGGTATGATGTGTAGAGAATCTCAGGAGTCGGGTCAGGGAGACGGATCAGGCCTCGAGCTTGCGCTTCTCGCCCGTCGCTGCTGCGCCTCCTCGGGCAGCAGCCGTACCCGGGCCCCAGTGCGGCAGCGGGTTGACCTGGTACTTTGTGCCCTTGCGCTCGGCGGCCAGCACGTCCTTGACGCGCGGGTGCTCCTCGTCGAAGCTGAACTCGTGCGTCGGCTTGCGGTCGATGAGACTGCGCGCCGGCGACGCAGGCTTGATGTTCTTCTCGGCGACGGGGTGCAGCTCGATCCAGCGCCGGAAGAGATCGAAGATCTGCGCGCGAGAGGCCGTCGTCTTGAGACTGCCGGGCTGGCAGTGCGAGCGCGAGACTTCGTGGCCGGCGTGGAGGAGCGCAGAACTGCATGGACGAGAAGCAGCGTCAGCGCCGTGATGAAGGAGACTTCTCTGCTGCAGCTACTCACACGACGTCGATGAGCGTCGGGTTCTCGCAGTGGAAGAGGCCCGCGACGCGCGACGGCACAAAGTAGAAGGGCTCCTGCAGCTCCTCGGCGGCCATGCCGACCATGCCGCGGATGCGCTGTGCCGTCTGGAAGCGCTCCGGCGCCTGCTCGAGCGTGGCGAGCATGGCACGGCAGAAGTCCTTGTCGTGCAGAGGACCGAGCCACATCGGGCCTGCGACCTGTGTGCCGAGACGAATTGTCAGCGCTGGCTCTGTGCGGCGATGGTGCGCGAGCGAGAGAGAGAGAAGGAAGCCTCAGAGTAGCGGTTCATGTGTTTCCCCATGATTTGGGTAAGTCTAACGAGATTCCTGATGTGTTGCTCATCACGGACTCCTTCCTGCTCGTCGCAGCCCTGAGCACAGACACTCACCACAAAGCGGGCCTGCCCGCCGCACTCCTGGCACATGCTGCCGACGGAGGCGGCGTAGCCGGGCTGGAACTTCTGGCCGCCGCGCTCCTCGGGGCGCTCGCGGCCCAGCGGCGCGGCCTCGAAGTTGCCGCAGCGGTTGCACGTCGACACGGTGCCCGTCGAGCAGGCGAGGCGCTTCACCTCGATTGGCTTGCTTTCGACGCGCACGAACACGCGCACGTAGAAGTCGATGCTGAGACTCAGCAGCGGCGTGATGGTGCGGCCGTAGCGCGCAGCTGCCGAGGCGATGGAGTGCAGCACGAGACGCAGCGCCACCTCGTGGCAGTAGTCGACGCGCGCCACGGTGCCGCCGTAGCTCGAGAAGGCCTTCTCCGGGTGGCCCGAGCCGGCGAGCACGGCGAGGTCGGTGCACGTCACGCACAGCAGGCCGCCGTCGGCCACGGCCTGCACGGCGCCGTCGAGGAAGGGCACGGCCGAGCCGTACGGATCGAGGTCGATGACGTCGAAGCGCTTGGACACGGCACGGTGCGTGTACAGCACGTCGGTGGCGTCGCCTTCGTTGACGCGGACGCGGCAGTGCTTGTGGATCTGAGGCTCGCCGTCGGTGGCAGCCGAAGCATCGGCGCTTGGTGCCGCGGCGTCGGCAGTGGTCGAGGTCGAGGGCTCAGATCCGGTCGATGCCTCCTGATCGGCAGGCTTCTCGTCGGCGAGCGGCGCTACGGCTGCGTCTGCGGCCTCTCCAGGCTGCCACTCCTTGATTGGCCGGCCGGCCGGAAAGTTGAGCGCGACGTTGCGGCGCATCGCTGCAGCTGCCGAGGGCGAGAGATCGTTGGCAAGCACCCACTTGAGCAGCGGAATCTCGCGTGCGTAGCGGATGGAGCGCAGGCCGGTCGCCGAGAGAGCCTCGAAGATGGTGAAGCGCTGCGACTGGTACACCGGCTTCGCGGCTTCAGCTTCCGGCGCCGGCTCTGCAGCGGGTGCAGCCTGCGGCTCGGATGCTGTCGATGATGAGGTTAGCTCGCTCGCAGAGGTGCTAGCTTGCGCTGCCGAGGTGCTGGCGCCGTCTGCCATTGCCGCATTGCCGTTGGCATCTGTCGCTGCGCTCGCCTTGTCTGCGCTGGTCTCGGTCTTCGGCGCTACGTCTGGGAGCACAGGTCAGCGAGGCACACCAGAATCGTCCACGCGCTGCTCACTCTTGCGGCGCTTCTTGCGCGCGCCGGCGCCTGCCTCGCTGTGGCGTGCCTCGAAGCGCTGGCGGCGCGCGTCGTCGCGCACCTGCGCCCAGGTGCGGATGGCGAGCGTGGAGAGGTCGCGGTTGAACTGCTGCACGGGGTTGAGGAAGGCGGCCTCCTTGCTCGGCACGGCAATCGTGGCGCTGCCCTCGCGGAAGGCCGCCTCGCCGGGCTTGAGGCCGAGGGCGGTGGCCACGTGCTGCGGCAGCGGCGTGGCGGGCGGCGCCATGGTGCGGCGCGACGAGTGGAAGCAGCGGGCAAGTGGAGAGCGACGGCACAGGGACGGGAGCGGCGTGCGGCCGAGTGGCATGCAACAGAAGAGGAAGGCGAGAGAAGAGGCAGGACCAGTACAGCTACAAACGACGGTGACGAGACGAGGCGGAGACGATGAGAAGTGGAGCGCGAGGCGAGATGTGGCTAAGAGCGAAGGAAAGCAGAGGGCAGCGTTGGCCAGCAGAGAGCGGCGGATTTTGCGAAGCGCGCTGCCTTCCTTCGCGCCGCGCGCCTGCTCGGCCGAGGCTTGCTCCTCTCGCTGCGCGCGCGCTCCTCTCCCGCACGGCAAGCCGGCTCAGGGTTCGCTGCGCCGGCGGCTGGTCAGGCCACCCGCGGCGCAGGCGGCGTGCCTGCGCTGCAAGCTGCACGTCGCGCGACGCGAGGAGCCAGATCCGAAACTTCGCGTGCGGCGGCGGCGGCGCCGGAGCCAACACATGCCTCCTGGACTCACGGCGTGGCGCAGTCGAGTCGACGCACCGCCCTGAGCCACGCACTCCTCCGCACCACCACCACCACTCACCATGAGCGAGCGCATCGCCGCCCTCGCCGCGCAGCTCGGCGTCTCGACGCCGCAGCTGCTCGCCATTGCCGCCGTGGCACTGCCGCTGGCCGCCGTGCTGCTCAATGTCGCCGCCCAGGTGGTGAGTCGCAGCACCGCACGCATCTCGCAGCGGCGCAGCCGGCACTCTCGCTGCGCTGCTGCGTGCACTCACACCGCAGACTGCCATGCCTCAGCGCAGCCGCTGACCCCCTCACCCAGCTGCTGCCGCGCGACCCGAGCCTGCCGCCGCTGGTGTTCAGCTACGTGCCCGTGCTCGGCTCGGCCGTGACGTACGGCATGGACCCGTACAAGTTCTTCGCCGACTGCCGCGCACAGCATGGCGACCTTTTCACGTTCCGCCTGCTGGGCCGCAACGTCACCGTGGCGCTCGGCGCCAAGGGCTCGAACCTGATCTTCAACGGCCGCCTCAACGAGGTCTCCGCCGAGGAGGCCTACACGTCGCTCACCACGCCCGTGTTCGGCAAGGACGTCGTGTACGACGTGCCCAACGCCGTGCTCATGGAGCAGAAGAAGTTTGTCAAGGTCGGCCTCTCGACGGAAAACTTCCGCGTCTACGTGGGCCAGATCACCGACGAGGTGACGGGCTTCATGAAGGGCGACGAGGGCTTCTCGGCCTTCTGGCGCGACGGCAAGAGCGAGGCGCCCGTCGACATCTTCAAGGCCATGTGCGAGATCACCATCCTCACCGCCAGCCGCACGCTGCAGGGCCGCGAGGTGCGCGAGAGCCTCGACAAGAGCTACGCAGACCTCTACCACGACCTCGACGGCGGCTTCACGCCCATCAACTTTGTCATCCCCAACCTGCCGCTGCCCGCCAACTTCCGCCGCGACCGCGCGCAGAAGCTCATGAGCGACTTCTACCGCGGCATCATCGAGAAGCGGCGCAAGGAGGGCGGCGACTCGGTGAGTGGGCGTGCGGGCGCGGCGAAGAGCGAAATGCGGAGGGCGAGTGCTGATGCGCGCGCACGCAGGCGGACCACGACATGATCGCTGCGCTGATGGACCAGTCGTACAAGAACGGCCGCAAGCTGTCGGACATTGAGATCGCGCACATCATGATTGCCCTGCTCATGGCAGGCCAGCACACGAGCAGCGCCACGGGCAGCTGGGCCATGCTGCGTCTGGCGAGCCGGCCCGAGTTCATGTGAGTGCGGCTGCTGTCTCTGCCGCATCTGGCGCTGACTGAGGTCTCGCAGCGAGGAGCTGTATCAGGAGCAGCAGAGCGTGTACGGCGACGGCGCCGGCGGCCTGCGCCCGCTCGACTACGACACGCAGAAGTCCTCCGTGCCCGTGCTGGACGCCGTCGTGCGCGAGACGCTGCGGCTGCACCCGCCGATCCACTCCATCATGCGCAAGGTCAAGTCGGACATTGTCGTGCCCGCCGCGCTCGCTGCGCCGGGCGCCGACAGCAAGAAGAGCGACTCGGCCGCCTACGTCATTCCCAAGGGCCACTTTGTCATGGCGGCGCCCGGCGTCAGCCAGGTGGACCCCAAGATCTGGCGCGACAGCGAGACGTTTGACCCGAACCGCTGGCTCGGCAAGGGCGAGATTGAGCCCGAGGAGCAGGGCGAGACGGTCGACTACGGCTGGGGCGCCATCTCGAGCGGCGCCAACAGCCCGTACCTGCCCTTTGGCGCTGGCCGGTGAGTGCAAAGCAAAAGACGGGCACTGCGATGCGGCCTGCTGATGCCCTCTGCGTGTCTCCAGCCACCGCTGCATCGGCGAGCAGTTTGCCTACCTGCAGCTCGGCACGATCATCTCGACGTTCGTGCGCACGTACAAGTGGCGCCTGAACTCGCGCTTCCCGGACCCGGACTACACGGTGAGTGCGAGCGTGTGTGTGGCGAGCGTGTGCCTGGCTGACGCACTTGGCCTGGCAGAGCATGGTCGTCCTGCCCAAGCCGCCGCACACGTCCATCGTGTTCACGAAGCGCAGCTAGATATCCAACCCGCATCCCTGCCCTGCTGCGGCGAGCTAGGCAGCCGCAGCCTGCTAGCGTGCGCCTGCCTGCGCACTATGTACATATCTCCTGCTGGACGGCAGAGCCATGCTGCCCTGTGCCATCTGCTTGCCCCTGCGACTAAGTCATCATTCAAATGGAGCGCCCACTCGCTCTGCGTGTCGGGAACTTGGAGCTGCATTTGTGAAGGTTCGGGGCCTGAGACATGCGGATGGCAGCGAGCGAGGCGCAAGCGAGAAGGAAGGGGAGTGGGTGGAGAGAGGGAGTGTAGGGGGAGAGAGAGAGAGGCGCGTGTGTGGGGTGAAGAGGATGCCGTGGATGGTGAGGTGCGGCCACACGAGACGAGCGTGAGAACGGAAGCGAGCGGCAGACGAGCGAGCTTGAGGCGCGCACTCCTCTCTGCACGCTGGCACAGCGGCAAGCGATAGGGTGAGAGAGAGATGGGGTGGTATGGCGAGATGGGAGTCGGCGGCAGAGAACGCATGCAGCTGCAGCAGGGCTGCCTCCGCAGATTGCACGCGCTGCGGCCGTCGACGAAGGAGAGAGAGGGAGAGCGAGAGGCGCCAGCTTGGGCGTAGAAGCGAGCAAGCGAGGCGCCGAGGAGAGAAGAAACGTCGTGACGCGATGCGAGAGAGAGCACCGCAGCGTAGCTTGGAAATAACCGGATTATGTACAGATGCTGGGAACGTCGTGTGTCCTTTGCCGCTGGCGCCTCGAGTGACTGCCCGCACATCCAGCTCTCAACGTCCCTTCGCCCTTCTTCGCTCTTTCTTTGCGCGCGCTCCTGATGCTGCGCGAGAGCCTTAGTCGAGCGTGACGCGCAGCGACTCGGGCGAGAGCGGCTGGAAGTTGTGCACGTCGATGCCGCGCGACAGCAGCTCGGCCTCGGCGTGCGGCGGCACGAGGCGGTTGATGAGGTCTGGGCGCACCGAGAGCTCTGCGGGGGGAGACATTAGCGCCTGCAAGACATCGCAGGCCGCAGGCCATGCTCCTCTACTCACCCTCCTTGGTCCAGTTGAAGAGCGCAGGCATGTCGCGGCCGTTGGGCATGCGGCCCTCGCCCGTGCGCAGCTCGTCGAAGAAGGGGTGGCAGAGCGCCTCGACGGCGGTGAGACGCGCGCTGGGCGTGTACTCGAGCAGGCGGCTGATGAGGTCGATGGCCTCGGGCGGCGTGCGTGGCCGGAACACCTTGCTGAAGGGGTGCGGCCGGATCTGCGGGAACTTGTGCTCCATGTAGTTGGGGTTCATCGTCTTGATCTGCTCGCGCGTCGGCGTGCCCAGCACCTTGATGATCTCCACCAGCTGGTCAATGCCGCTCTCGCCCGGGAACAGCGGCTGGCCCTGCATCAGCTCTGCCATCACGCAGCCCGTCGACCAGATGTCTGGGTGCGCGCGCGCGTCAGCACTTGCTCGCGTGCGTCTCGCCTCTGCCACGCGCGCGTCTTCTGCGCACGCGCACGCGCACGCGCACGCGCTGCCGCCACTCGCTGCACGGCACTCACCAATGTTCGTCGTGTAGTTCGTGGCGCCGAAGATGAGCTCGGGCGCCCGGTAGTAGCGCGAGCAGATGTACGAGACGTTGGGCTCGCCGGCGACGAGGATCTTGGCGCTGCCAAAGTCGCACAGCTTGAGCACGCCCGTCGTCGGGTTCAGCAGCAGGTTCTGCGGCTTGATGTCGCGGTGGCAGATGCCGATGCTGTGGATGTAGGCCAGACTGCGCAGCAGCTGGTACATGTACAGCTTGATGAGCAGCATCGGCATCGTCTGCTTCAGCTTGGCGTAGTGCCGCGAGGCGCGGTACACCGTCTCGGGCACAAACTCGAGCACGAGGTTCAGGAACACCTCGTCCTTCTGCGCGCGCCGAGGTGTGAGCGTCATGCGCGGCACAGCAGGGCCTCTGGCTGCTCACCTTGTCGCCATTTGAGTAGAAGAAGGCGCGCAGGTCCACGACGTTGGGGTGTGCGACGATGCGCATGATCTGCAGCTCGCGGTTCTGCAGTGCGGCGCGTCAGCTCCTGCTCTGCGCCACGCACAGGCCCACGCGCACGCACCTTGAAGCGCTTGTCCTGCAGCACCTTCTTGATCGCCACGTCCTCCTGCTCTTCCCTTGGCGTCTTGCTGGCCTCGCCGGCGCCGGCGCTGGCGCCGGCGCCCTCGACGAGGTTGCCGTTGCCGCCCGAGACAAGCCGTGCCTGGAACACGACGCCGAAGGAGCCATTGCCGATGACCTTGCAGTTCGTGTAGGCCAGCTCGCGCGAGTCGCCGCTCTTGCCGTCCGACGCCGAGACGCGGATCAGCTTCGTCGGGTCGTCCATCGCTGCGAGGGAGGGATCAGCATGGGCTCAGAGCGTGCAGAGAGGCAGCGGCAGAGGTGGGCACGCGGTGCTGGGTGCCGGCGCAGTAGCGCAGCTCGCCGGGTCATCGTGCCTGCGCCGCGCTTCACCCAGGAGGCACAGCCAGTGCCGCCAGCACGCAGAGCATGACTCGCAGCTTCTGCGAGCTGCAGCACTGCCGGCTGCCCTGCGCATGGCCAGAACCTGGCCCTCGTGCCTGCCTCGATGCCGCTGTGTCGCACGTGCGGCATGCATGCTGCGACTCACGATTGAGGCCGTTAGGGCGCGACATTCAGCACGAGTAGTAGAGCGCTGCGGGCTGTGAGAGGTTGTGTGCTAAGCTGCGGCGCGGCGAGCAGGTCGAGCAGCGGGCGTGTGGGGCTGCAGAGGATCAGGGCAGGAGCGGCGAGGCTGCTGCGGCGAGGTGCGTGATGCAGAGAGAAGCACGAGCGAGAGGCGTGCAGCGCAGAGCGGCGGCGAAGCGAGTGCTGCGGCGACGAGGTGGGCCGCGAGAGCGAGGGGTGCGGTGTGGGTGTGGGAGGGTGGAGAGAGGAGTGGAGCTGGCGCGTGCGGCGTGTGCGACAGAGAGACACGTCGCCCCTCTCGGCGCCGGCGGAGCGGGCAGCACGGCGGCGGCGAGCGACCTCTCTGCCGCTGCGGTGCCGCACAGCAGGCGAGGCGGGGCCAAGTGCATGGACGCTTTGCTGCTGCGCTGCATCTCGCCGGGCGCCTGCCGAGCCTCCGCGGCGGCGGCCCAGGCTGTCCGTGTGGGCCTGCGCGCGCGGCGTCCGTTGGAGAGCAAACGGCAGACACGCAGGCACGCCGCCCGTGTGCGCGCGCCTGCCCCAGCAAGCGCAAGCGCGAGGCGCGCCGCCACGCTGTCCGCCAACACGACAGCGGCGCGGCGGCACCGCAGCACGCCGCTCGCAGCGCAGCGCAGGCACGGCTGGCCCACACGAGCGGCTCGCGCTCGCGCTCTGCTGCGGTGTGGCGTCTGGCCTGCTGCGGTGCCGCCCTCTTCGCTGCTTCGCCCCGCTCGAGCGTCCCTCAAAGAAGCGATCCTTCCGCTCTCCTCTGGCGCGGCGGCGTCCTCGAGGTCTCGCCGCGGCGGCACCTGATGCTGGGTGTGCTGCTGCTTCCGCGCTGGCCGTGTGAACGTCCTGCTGTGCGAGGGCTCCGAGCGCGCAGCGTGCACCTCATGACTCGCAGCCGCTCCAGAGAGGCGCAACATGCAGAGGAGTGAGGCACTCATCGCCCATCGCTCTGCCGCTCACAGAGGGCAGCATGAAGGGTCAGGCAGGCCAGCTGCAGCATGCTTCTCGGGCCTGGCGGCTGATGCGCTGCGGCTGCGGCGCTGCAAGATGCGGCGCGGCGGCGGCGTGTGGGGTCGGCTCTGGCGTGCTGCGCGCCTCCTGCGCGGCAGTCGTGATGGCGGCGTGCGGGCGCCGGCAGATCAGCACAGCCCGGCTCCGCAGCAGCAGAGCTCCAGCCTCTGATGTCTGTCTCTCTCGCTTCGACGCTGCGCATGCCACCGCAGCGCAGCGCTGCGGGGACTATCGCGGCATCGCGGCAGCGCTCAGGCGGCAGCCAAGACGAAGCGAGGCGCGAGGGAGAGCAGGGGGGCGTGTGACCTCGCCGCCTGGCGCGTCTCGGCACGTCGCTCCTCGTCGTCAACCCCCTCGGCTCGTGGCACCCGCCTTATCCCGGCACGCTGCGCCCTCCGCATATGGCTCATAATCTGGCGATGAAGGCGCTCATCATTTCGGGGGTGGTCTCGAGGCTCGTGTTCAGCGCTGCGACCAGCAGACACGAGGTGTCTGGCAGCGAGTCGTCCTTGCAGGATGAGCGGGCTTGCCTCGCAGTCTCCTCCGTCTCCTCCGCAGAAGCAACCTGATTGCCTCTGCAGCCTCGTCGAGCGATCAACAAGACCTCGTCTGAGAGGTTCCTGCTACGCTCGTCGACGCTCGGAGGGATGTTGAGCACCGTCTCCCTGACGTCAGCTGCAGCGCCTCACCTCCTGACGCTCTCCGTACCAGAACGCGGCCGCGGGGCCACCCCTAGATGCCGCACTCGGCAGAACGCTTCTCCTCCGCAGATGGAAGCGGGGTCGAGACGAAGTGCCCCAACACATGCGCTGCTCGGACAAAGCTCTCCGTGGGAGCAGTGTCCACTCAGGGGTCGCTGGGCGGCACGCGCATCGGGAGGGTACCGCTGTGTGCGGGAAGCCACTGAGCGCGCAGCTCAGCATGCACGACACGGCGAGGCCGTGGTCGAGCACCGTGCCGATATACCTCGAAAGCGACAGACGCAGGAGCATGTGTCGTGATGGTCATTACGCAGCCACCGTCCAGAGTCTCTCTATGTGCGGAGCCCGGCGACAGCTACTTGATGCGGTCCAGCCGCTGGGTGCCTGCACGCAGTAGACACATCAGCACGAGGTCAAGGCCAGGCAAGAGGCTGTACTCACTGTTGAAGACGCGCGTGTCGAGCGCGGTAGTCTTGTCGCCGAGGCGCTTGATGCGCACGTTCTGCTCGTCGATCTCGTTGCCCATGGCGCGGCCCAGGTGATTGAGACGTCCAGCGAGCTGGCCAATCTCGTCCAGATTGCCATCCAACTCATCCTCCAGCTCGTCATCGCTCTCCGTCGCCTCAAACTGGTAGCGACTGCGCTGCGCCAGCTTGTTCTTGGCCGCCGCTTCCTCCGCCTTGCTCTTGCTGCCTCCGCCAAAGCGACCTGCGCCAAAGCGACCCGAGCCAGGCCCACCGAGCGACTGGTCAACGCGCGTCTGCGCCTTGAGTGCCTCGGCACGCGTAGCTTCGCGCTCCTCGCGCTCCTCGATGTGCCGATTCATGATGCGTGCCTCCTCGGCATCACGCTTGGCTTGCTTGTTGAACTGCATGTTCGGACGGAAGATGGAACGGTTGAGCGCCACAATCTCGCGCGCGTTGTCGTCGGCGCGCGAGGAGTGCGCCTTGGCGAGGTCGAGGTGGCGCTCGGTGTTGGCGATGCGATCTGCGAAGAGGCTGTCAGCAAGAGCGCGAGGGCGCACGCCGTCAGTCCTGCTCACCACTCTGGTCGCCGAGCCGCAGCATCGTGTTGGTAGCCGTCTCCTCGGCCTCTCGAGCAATGCGCAGCGCATTGCGCGTCGAGCTGAGACTCTCCTGCTTGGTGAAGCGCATCTGCTGCTTGACAGCCTCGACCTCCTCCTCCTCTTCTTCCTCGGCGGTGCGCTCGCGGTACTCATCGCGCGCCGGCTCGTACTCTTGCGCCTGCGCCTGCTCGCTGCCGTAGCCTCCGCCGCGGCCGTACTCTGCCTCCAGCTCTGATGCGTCATCGCGAGGCGCCTGGCCACCGCCGCGGTACGAGGCGCCTCCTCGCTGAGCGCCGCTGCCGTATGCTGCGTCGAAGCCCGCGCCGAGGTTGGGGTTCGGCGCACGCGAGCCAGCGAAGCGGTCTGGCGGCGGCGCATAGCCGTTGGGTGGGCCGCCGCCGTATGCGCCACCAGGGCCGCCCGGACCGGCCGGGTAGCGACCAGCTGGTGCGCCAGGCCCGCCAGGTGCGCCGTAGCCAGCGCCGCCGTAGCCTGCGCCGCCAGCACCGAAGCCAGCGCCGCCTGGCGGGCCACGTGCACCGCCGCTGGGCTGCTGAGGGCCGCCGTAGCCGCCGTTGAAGGAGCCGCCTGCGGGCGGGCCTTGCTCGACAGGCGGGATCTTGGACGTCTGCATGAAGGTGTCAGTGGTGAAAGCGGAGGAGGGAGCATACGCGACGCACCTTCTTGCCGAACAGCGGCATGGCTGCGCGAGTGTGCGGGCGTCGAGAGGGGTGCTGAGCGTTCAGGCGACGGCGATGCAGCTGGAGGGTGGTGTGGCGAGAGGTACGAGCGGAAGCGAGGCGCTGGCGGTGCTGGTGGAGGGAGGCCAAGCTGCGCCCCGCAACGGGCGTCAGATGGACGCGGCGCCGCCCCTCGCAGCGTGCGCGCGATACACTGGCGCAGTGCCCACAGGCCGAGACCAACAGCCAGCCCAGCACAGCCCCACGCTGCGCCGCTGCTGGCGATCCGGCATCACGTGCGGCCCACCGCCAGCTCGGCATTCGGGACGGAGATCTCGCTGCCCCGGCCGGGCCTAAGGGCAGACGTGCCTCCACTCGGCCATAAGCTGCGGACGCTTGCGCAGCCTCAAAGGGCCGGCTCCTTGTCGCTCCTCGACGACGGCGCCTCTTCTGCGTCAGCACCACCACATCCATCTATTCGCACCTCATCATGTCCAACGCACCCATCGCACCCGGCTCGCTCGTGCTCGTCACCGGCGGCACTGGTGCGTGAGCTTGGCCCGCCCTGCCACACAGCTGCTCACCCCTGCGCAGGCTTCATCGGCTCGCACGTCGTGCGCACCTTCCTGCACGACGGCTTCCGCGTGCGTCTCCCGGCACGCACGCAGGAGAAGGGCGACAAGTTCGTCAAGCACTTCAGCGAGTATGCCGACAAGCTCGAGGTCGTCGTCATCCCCGACGCGCTGCGCGAGGGCGCGTACGACGAGGCCGTCAAGGGTGAGCGCCGCTGAATGCGAGAAGCTCGGTGTCCTTGCATCGACTCTGCATCGACGCTGACTTCAGTCATCAGGCGTCGCGGGTATCGCCCACCTCGCCACGGCCATCGACATCCAGTCGACGGACTACGACGCGGTTGGTGAGTGCACCTGCTTCGGCGCCGCATCTTCACACCTGACGCATCGCTTCAGTGCCGCCGTCGATTGCCGGCACCGTCGGCGTGCTGCAGTCGGCGCTCAAGTACGGCCCGACCGTGCAGCGCGTGGCCATCTGCTCGTCGTCGGGCGCCTCGGGCCAGCCCAACCCGGTGCCGCGCGCCAAGTTCGAGGCGGACCCGAGCATTGCCCAGAAGCTCGATGCGTCGACGTGGAACGACAAGAGCATCGAGACGATCGAGGCGCAGCGCAAGAACGGCAAGGTCACTGACGGCTTCCAACTGTGAGTTCTACTCGGCAGCTGCAGAGCTGGACACTTGCTGACGTGCTCTGTCCGCAGCTACTACGTGAGCAAGGTGCTGGCAGAGCGTGCCGCCCACGACTTTATCAAGAACGAGAAGGTGAGTGTGGCCGCGTTGACGCACCTCTGTCTCTCTGCTGACTCGCTGCGTGCAGCCCAACTTCACGATCAGCATGATTCTGGTGAGTGCTGCCGCTTGCACTCCAAGCCGACACGGCGCTCACTCTCCTCACAGCCCAATGCGAACTTCGGCGACATGATCCCCTGCGCCACGGGCACCTCGACCGGCGGCTGGTCGCAGGCTGTTGCCGACGGCCAGGACATGAACCAGATTGACCCTCGTGCGTGATGCGCTTGCACCTCTTCCGCGCCCATGCTGACTCTGTGCTCCTTGCAGAGTGGTTCGTCAACGTCGACGACACGGCGCGCCTGCATGTCCAGGCACTCGTCTCGCCCGACATCAAGCAGGGCGAGCGCATCTGGGCGGTGAGCGAGCGCTTCACGTGGAACGACATTGCTGCCGAGGTCAAGAAGGTGAGTTGCTGCTCTGTGCCCCTGCACTTGCACAAGCGCATGGCTGACGCCGATCCCGCCAGAACAAGCCCGAGGCAAACGTCGTCACCGTCGAGGGCGACAAGGACCGCGTCGACGCGTCCGACATCGATGCTTCGCGCGCTCAGGAGCTGCTGAAGGAGTTCGGCGGCTTCCAGGGCCTGGCCGTCACTGTGCGCCAGGGCCTTGGCCTCGAGAAGCCGCGCATCTAGACGAGCATACTCCCAGCATCGTGCCGCGCTGTACTGTCCATCCACTAGCCTGCATCTACACGCTTTCTGCATTATTCGCCAATCATACTACGCTGCCGCCTGTACCCTTTGCCTCTCGCGCGCGTGCTGAGATGCGTGCATTGCGAGCGCAGCATGTAGAGAGGGGTGGATAGCGGGCTTGGCGCAGGTGATGGGGGTGATGCGTCTTGCGGTGGGAGGAGCCGGGCTGCCGGATCTCTGCCAGTGCGCACGCCGAGGTCTCGCCTACTTGGCCGCCTTCGCCGCCTTCTTGACCTTGACGAGGTTGTTGGGCTTGGCCCATCCCAGACGGACCATCTGCTTGACGAAGCTCGGCGTCACTGCCGCCGTGAGCATGACGCGGAACGGCAGCAGCAGCGTCTTGTGGATCGTGTACGCGAGCACGGCCTCTGCCCACAGGGCGCTGTTGCCGCCGCCGCTGCTCTCCTTCTTGCTCTTCTCGCCGCGGATCACGCGCTTGGCCTCGTGCGTCGCCTCTGCGTTGTTGCTCGGCGCAGACTCGGGCACTTCGATGGGCACCGGCCATGCGGCCACCTCGTCGTCGTCCATCTCGCGCTTGCCAAAGCCGGCCCACTCGCGCACGCGCGTCTCGAGACTGCGGATGTGCTCGGCGCCGAGCATGTGGATCGCGGCGAACGTGATGGAAATGTCGACGATCGAAGCCAATTGATACACGCCTAGAGCCCACCAGCCGTAGCGCTTCCAGAGGAAGCGCATGCGCTCGCGGAAGGAACGAGGTTCTGGCTCGGGATTCTCCTCGCCTGCCTCCTCCTCCTCTGCTCGCTGCTGCTGCTGCTGCTGCTGCTGCTGCTGCTGCTGCCCTGGCGAATGGGAAGCAGGCGCAGGCTTGGCGGCGGCACTGCTCGGCACGCTGCTGGCGAAGCGGCGAGAGGCAGGCAGCAGGCCGGCGGCGTGCGGCTGCACGAGCACGGAGCGGCGCGGCACGGCGACGAGTGCGGCGAGGCGCGACGACGACGACGACGAGGAGGCATCCCGCACAGCGAAGGCTGGCGCAAAGGCCAGGCTGCGCCGGAACGAGGCGGGCGCGCGAATGGCCACGCGCCCGGCGCTGCTGCCGACGAGGCGCGAGGTGGAGGCAAAGGCGAAGGACATCGCTCTGCCGAGTGCGCGTGCGGGAGGGGAGCCGAAGAGGCGCGAGAGCGCGAGGCGCGAGTGCTGAGAGGCGAAGACGGAGCGGAGAGCCGCCTCGCGTACCGGATGAGCGGACCGGGCGTTGTGCGGGGCCGAGAAGAGGATGAAGGCGAGAAGCAAGGGAGCGGGAGAGGCGCGCGCCTGTGCGCAGCCGAACGCTGCGCCGATCCGTCAGCTCAGCGGCAAGAAAGCGGCGGCGCGCGGCGGCATGTGTTGGGGCACGTGCAGCCTTGCGCCGTCAGGAGGCGCCGCCGTGCCCTCTGCGCTCGCATGTCGCTACGGCCGCACAGTTGCCGCACCCGCAAGCCATCATCGATGTTGTAGCCGTGCAGCACATCAGCATCAGCAGCAGGAGCCGGTACGGACGCAGCCGGCTGAGCTCGCTCGGAGCCGCCTCTCCGAGCGCACGGAAGGGCGAGCCGTGGCGTGCGCGCGTGCCGTGCGGGATGCCGCGGCGCGCCCCTGCGCCCGCGGGCGGCGGCGCTAAGAGGCGCTGCTTGGCGTGGCGCGGCGCCTTGAAATAGCCGTGCTCTCCAGCTCTGCTCGAGCTCAGGCCATCAAGTCCCATCCCCGCCCTCTCTCACTTGCAACACCACCACCACCACCACCACCACCAGCCTCACACATACACACCGCCGGCCACTCCATGTCGCGCTTCCTCCGCCGCGCCGCGCCCGCCGAGCCCGCCGCACCACGCGGGCCGGCCACCTCTGCGCCTCTGCACGCGGCGCCTTCGGAGCTCAAGCCCACGCCGCGTGCGCCGCTCTCTGCCGAGCAGCTCAAGTTCGTCGCGGCCCTGCGCGCTCACGTCGAGGCGCTGCACGAGGCGGGCTGGGCACAGCAGAGCGACGGCGAGACGTATCGTCCCTGGGAGCGCGTGTGGCTCGACGATGAGGGCACAGTGCTGCGCTACGCGCGCGCGTCCAAGTGGGATCTGGAGAATGCAAAGAAGCGCATCGCCGTGAGTGAGAGCGTGCTGTCGGCGCTGCTGCATTGCCTAGCTCGCTTGCTGACACGCACATGCAGGACACGCTGGCATGGCGCCGCTCCTACCGGCCAGAGCTCATCACGCCCGATGAGATCGCAGAGGAGGCAAAGACGGGCAAGCAGATCATCTCGGGCTTCGACCAGGAGGGGCGCCCCATCCTGTACCTCCGCCCGGGCAGGTGTGTCGATCGTGAAAGCCGGTACCTCGTCGCTTGTGCTGACGATGTCCATCTCGCAGGGAGAACACGCAGCCGTCGCCGCAGCAGGTCCGCTTCCTCGTCTTCGCCCTTGAGCGCGCCCTCGGTGCGTGGCCGTTGCTCGAGCGCCAAGCATGACTTCCCTGCTGATGTGCCGATCGTCTCTCAGACCTGGCGCCGAACGGCCAGGACACGCTGGCGATCGTCGTCGACTACGCCTCGGCTACGCAAGCGACGAATCCCTCCATCAGCCAAGCTCGGAAAGTGAGAGACCTCCACATCCTCTCGCTGCACCGTATCTGACTCTCATCCAGGTGCTGAACATCCTGCAAGCTCACTACGTCGAACGCATGGGACGCGCATTCGTCGTCAACGTCCCCTGGTGGATCAATGCCTTCTTCACTGCCCTCTCGCCCTTCCTCGACCCCGCCACGCGTGAGAAGATCAAGTTCAACGCCTCGCTGTCCAGCTTCATCGCGCCCGAGCAGCTCGATGCCGAGTTCGGCGGCGCACACAACTACCAGTGGGACTTTGACGCGTACTGGTCTAGCCTGCTCGACGCGGCGAACCTGCTTCCCGACGGCACGCGGCGCGTCGGAGCTCGGCGTGCCGTCGCAGAGGCTTGCACGGCACCGCCGCTGCCCGGCCGCGAGGCAGAGTCGACGCCCACGCCCGCTCCGCCATACGCATCAACCGTCGACGCCGTCGCCGAGCCGACCTCTTCGTCATCGCCGGCGCCGGCAGCAGCAGCGACAGCGACCGACGGCGAGACGCTCTCTCGCTTCCTCTCGCACACCCACCGCACCGAGAATGCCTCAGCAGAAGGGAGCGCAGTAGGCAGCACCGTCGAGTCTCATCTCACCGAGACGCGCGGCGAGACGGCGCCGTCGACTGCTCCCACGAGCGTGCATGGCCACGAGCAGATCAAGCCTGTCTCGTGAGCCCGCCGACGTCGAGGGCCCAGCCGTTCCGCTGCGCTGTGATACCCACCTCCCCCCTCCCCCTTCTGCGCGCGAGCTCAGGCCTTTCCTTCACGAGCCATCTCTCTGTCCCGTCATCTGTCCCCCGATCCGTCCGCCGCATGTACTTCTAGCCATCGTCTCTTAACTCATTCACCGCGTCCAGCCAGAGTCGCAGGCACGTTCACGCACAAGAGGAAGCAAGAAGAGCAGAGTTGAGTGACCAGGATGAAAAGAGTGATGCTACAGTTGCCGAGGCAGGCAGAAGGGGCTGGCGTGGATGGCGACGTCCGGCGAGCCGAGTCTATGAGGTGTGGTCCAGGGAATTAGGGTGACGCGGGATAGTGTAACAGGGCCGAGTGCGACGAGAGCAAGGAAGAACGAAGGATGCGCTAACGATGCGCTTTTGAGGCACGGCGCATGCTTTTCAGGCAAGAGCGGCGCCGGCGACGAGTGCCATGAGCGTCGCAGCGAAGGCGGCAGGCGCCATGGCGACGCCAGCGTCCCTGTTCATGCTGGTGACGGCGTTCGTCGGGCTGGCGTATGCGCTCATGAGTGAGGCGCTGATCGTGGAAGCCGCCGCCTGCACGCTGGCAGTGGGCACGGCCTGCGTGCTCGACACGGAGGCCGTCGTGGGCGATGCGCCCTCGACGATGAAGTAGGAGGCGGCGATGATCTGGCCGAGGCCGGCGTAGTTCAGGTAGTCGTTCAGCTGGAAGTCGGTCACGAGCGGCGCGGGAGCGGAGAGGTTGGCGGGCGCCATCCAGCCGGCTGGCTGCGCGACGACGAGGAGAGTGTAGCGGTGCGGGCCCGAGCCGGCGCTGCAGGCAGAAGAGCGGCATCAGCACCCTGCAAGCAAGATCTGCGCACTCGCTGCGGCTACACTAGACTCACGGAGGTGCGGGGCCGTTGTAGCTCGTCACAGCGCGGCCGGTGGACATGACGGTGCCGTTCGAGCCCGTGAGCGTGTCGTTGTTGCTCAGGTAGTGGCGCACGACGGCACCGTTGGGGAAGCCGACGCCGGGCGCGCCCATGTCGACCATGAGCGTCGTGTAGGCGCGGCTGGAGAAGGCATCCATGGAGTCGACGTGCTGCGTGTAGTTCATGCGCAGCGTCGGCGCCTCCTGCGTGTCGTTGCGCGCGAGCGTGGCGCCCAGTGGCGCCGAGACGTTGCCGAAGCTGACGCTGAGAGAGGAGGCGAGACGGATGCGCTCCTCGGGGATGTACTGCGGCACGAGACCGGCGGCGCGGAACTGCAGCAGCGTAGACGCCAGCTCCGTGGTGACGTAGGAGCTGTTGGCGATCTGGCCCAGAGCGGAGGGTGCCAGTGCCAGGGCGGCGAGAACGAGAGAGCGGAAGTGCATCGTGAAGAGGGCGGAGCGTTGAGCGTTGAGGGGGTAAGAGATGGTGGGTGGGCTCCAAGACCTGTGTATGGACTGCGCTGCCTTATGAAGGGCGCCGCACGCCCAAGCGGCCAACACTGCGCCGGTGCTGCGCCGAGGCACCCGGCGCCGCGAGAGAGGGGCCCGGGCGCCGCGAAGAGGTGACCCTGCACGCGGTACCGAGCAAGGCGCAGCGCTGAAAGGGGCGCGGGCACACGAGCGAGGCCCGGCAACAAGCATGCCTGCGTGCAGCGAGCTGAATCTCAAATCTGAGGGGAAGCGCTGCGAGCTGGAGGCCGACGTTGATCCGAGGGTGCCGACGTGCAGCAGCTGGGCGGTGGAGGGGCCACGCCGCGTGCTGGTCACGCGCTCTGCGCCCTGAGCACATCTCCAAATGATCGACAGAGCGGCGGGCAAATCGCCGAGGGGCCCGGTGCTGCCGCAGTGCTGGGGCTGCACACACAGGCGGCGTGCCGGAGAAGGCCGGCGTCTGGCCGCGGCGCAGCGCAAATCTTCGCGCTTTGCGCGTGCAAGCGCAGCCGGCGCCTTCTTCGCCTCGGCGCGCGCGCGCCCTCTCTCTCCTGCGAGGCGCTGCCCGAACTGGGGGGCCTGTCCATGGTCCCCTCGCCGTACGCCGCGCGCGTGCGCCTATGTGTGCGCCTCTTGAAACAGAACTGCGCCTCTCCGCAGTGTGTCGCTCCTGCACCTCGCTTGCGCCCGTCTCGCACCCGAAGCGCCGCCGGCGGCATGGCGCAAGCCTGAAAAGCAAAGCACATCGACACACCTCGCTCGCCCGGCAGCGGCAGGGTCAACAGACGCACCGCCCGGCCGCGGCGGCTGCTGCACCGAGCTGCACCTCGCTGATCCTCGCCTCGGTCCGCCAGCCGTAAGCGCCCTGTTCCTGCTTCTGCCTGCACGACGCCCATCGAATCTTGCCTGGCCTTGCATCTTCGTGCTTGGCTGCAGCGCGAAGCATTTGATTTGCAAACTGCCAGCGACGCAGCAGACAGCCAGCTCGTGCGAGGAGGGCGTGCCGTCGGGCATGGACTCGCGAATTGTCATTTGCCTCGGACGCCGCCGAGCGCTGCCCGTCGGGCGACGGTGCGGCGGGCCTATGTTGGCAGGGCCAGATGTCTCACACTTCTCGTGGCGGCCCGACCTTTCGGCCGCCCGTGCTGCAGCAGCAGCTGCGCAGCAACCCTTCCCCGCAGATCTCGCTGGATGTTGAGGGCAGGCAGCACGCACCCTCGGACGACCACGCTGCTGACATCTCGGGAAGTGCACCTCTCACGTGAGCGCAAGCGAGGCGGAGCCCGACGGCCTGTGCCGCTCTCTCCTCTGATCGGCGGGTCCAAGCAACGCATGCTGCAGGCACGTGCGGCTCTGTTTCACACACGGCTTCCTCTGCATGTCGGCACGCCAAGGTGGCCGTCGATGGACAGGCAAGCATCGCCCATTTCGCGTCACGCAGGCGGACGTGTGGCCGTGACGCAGATGCAGCGCACGCCCTTTCCCTCGGCCCACGTCTCGACGACGCTGCCAAAGGCACGCAGGCCCCACCAGCTGGCGTGGCTGCCGCCTCTCCAGGCCGACTCTTGACCGCGCCCGATGCCGCGCAGAAAGCGCGAGAAGCCAGGCCACATGGCGTGCGAGATGTCCTCGATGTGCGCCTGCGTGAGACCGGCAGCGGCTAGGTCAGAGGCATAGCTCGCCGCAGAGACCATGTTGACGAAGGGCACGCCGGCCAGCAGGCATGTGCGGCGCAGCTTGAGATAGGAGCGCAGCGTGCTCGGCGGCGGACGAGGCAGCGAAGAGGGCGTGTACTTGAAGTTGAGCTGCAAAGTGCTCGCATCGGGCAGCGGCGAGGCGGCGCAGAGATCAATCAGCGCCAGCACGCCGCCGGGCGCGAGGCGCGCAGCAGCCGCCTCTAGGAACTCTGCGCGGCTGGGAAAGTGATAGGCGCAGTCGAGCGCGAAGATGACATCGTACGTGTCCGCGTCCGAGGAGCGCAGAAAGCCCGTGGCGTCGGTGCAGAAGACGGTCGCGCTGGGGCAACGCTCTCTTGCCACGCGGGCATGCGCAGGCAGAGATGTGACGCCGTGCAGCGTGGCAGGCTTCAGCTCGGCAGCAATGAGCCGCAGCGACTCGCCGGCGCCGTGGCCGACGTCGAGGATGCGCAAGCCCTTGGGCGCAGGAGAGGGCAGCGCGCGCTCGTAGAGGTGTCGTGCGAGCGCTGCGCATGCTTCGGGGAAGGTAGGCTCACGCCCCTCGGCCGTGGGAAGCCACCAGCCCATGTTGAGCCACTGTGTCTGCGGCGGGAGCACGTTGAGCGCCAAATGGCTGAAGTGCGTGTACGACTCGGCCTTGTCGCTGCGGCTCAGCGTCGAGGAGACGAGGCGCGCTGCGAGGCGCAGCGGCGCGAGCAGCAGACGGATGGGCAGCAGCAGCAACGCTAGCAGCCAGCCCTCGAGCTGCGACGCTGCCGACGAAGACCTGCGTGCTTGTGACGAGGCCATGACTTGAGACGAGGAGATGGACGTTGGGAAGGAAGGGCAGAGCGAGGAGATCCACGCGGCGGTCGTCGTCGCCGCTGCTCCGAGAGCGCCGCGCTAACGCCGCGCGTGCTGCCAGCGGGATGCGCGCCGCTCTGCCGCCGCTCGGCCGTGCCTGCCCCTGTCGCCTCACATCCAGCCATCTCGTGCCTGAGAGCTACCTCTCCTCCAGCACAACACCGCTCAAAACAGCTCGTGGTGCATCGTGCATGGTATTACAGCGGCATCGGGGGGCCTTCCTCGCTCTCGCGCACGTGCGACATCTCGCGGTCAGCGCGCACGAGTGCCTGCTCGACTTCTCGCTCTGCGGCCTTGTCTGCGCGCAATTTGGCCGCCGAGCGCAGAGACTCGGCGTACACGTTCCACTTGGTCAGCTCGCCGAGGAGATGGCTCGACTTGGCCGTCCAGTTGGCCTCGGCACGCACGCGATTCGAGCCGCGCGGCGAGTAGAGCAGCAGCATGGGCTGGCGCAGCGTGTTGTGCTCCTCGAGCTCGGCCTCGATGCGCACGATGTGGCGCGCCACGGCCTCGAGCTGCTCCTCCTCCTTGAGCGTGCTCGCCGTCGTCGGCGGGTTCGGCGCACGCCAGTCGTTGATGTACATGCGCTCGTTGGCGTGCACCTGTCCGCCGCCGGTGCTCAGCACGCTCGAGGCGCCGCCGGCACGCGACGTCGGCGTGCTGTACACGCTGGCGCTGCTTGCGGTGCCGCCGCCGGGCGTCGACAGCGACGGCGAGTCGGTCCAGTCGCGGAATGCGTTCTGCGTGCGGCTGCGCATCGAGCGTGCACTGCGGCCGCTGCGGATGCTGCGCGTGTCCATGCTCAGCTTGCGTGCGCTCGACGGCGCATAGATGCTGGCGTCGGGCGGGCCGGGTGCCGAGCGCACCGAGGCCGCCTGCGAGTCGACGGAGAGCTCCTCAGTCATGCCTTCCTCCTCATCGTCGTCGTCGTAGACGCTGCGAGGCATGACCTTGTTCCAGCCGTACTCCATGTTGCTGACGCCGCCAGCCAGGGGCTCGCGGCTCGAGCGCGCAGCCCAGTAGTTGCACGTCGAGACCCACTCCTGCACCAGCTCCTCGTGGCCGGCCTGGAAGAAGAAGACGGCGCCGTTGGCGAGCGTGAGGGCAAAGACGTGCGGGCGCGCTCGATTGTAGCCCGGCGGCGGCAGCGCGTTGGCCAGCGTGTGCGCCAGCGAGATGTTGCCGAGCGCCGTGGCGTTGCTGAGCCAGTTGCCGCCGCCGACGGCAGCAGTGCTGCGGCCCACCGTCGACGACGAGGACGTGTCGCCGAAGCGGAACATCGACAGCTGGCCCTTCTGCACGACGACGAAGAGCTGCGTCCAGTTCTTGTCGCGCGCGCGCTTCTGCGGGCCCTCCCAGTAGTGCTTGCGCGTCAGCACGCCCTCCTTTGCCCACGGCGAGCCCATGAGCGCCAGCTCCTCGTCGCCGATCTCGGGCACGGAGCGCAGGCTTGCATTGTCGTCGTTCTCGTCTTGCGTCTCCTTGATGATCGAGTGGGAGAGGGTGTTGGCAAAGCCGAGCGTCAGAGGCGCCATCTGGCTCGACGGCGAGCTGAGCGCCGAGCTGGAGGGCGTCTGGCCGCCCAGCCAGCTGTCGCCGCCGTACGAGCGCGAGCCGATGGAGCTCGGCGTCAGACTGAGGTTCTCGTCGCTGCGCATCGTGCCAGCGCTGCCCAGCAGGCCCTGGATGCCGCGGATGCTGCCGCGCTTCAGCACATTGACGCGGTCCGAGCCGACGGAGAGCGTGTTGCCGCTCTTGGGCATGCGGCGCTGCGAGCCGGCCAGCAGCGCGTTGACCGTCTCGGGCGCGTCGCCGACGGGCAGGCGGATCTGGTCGGTCTTGACCGCAGCGTAGATTTCCTGATGGCGGGTCAGTGACTGCGCACACACTGCGAGCACGCGCCAGACTCACTTTGAGCAGCCCCTCGAGCTCCACCTCCCACGCGCGCGAATGCGGGCGGACCGCGCCGTCGCTGCTCGAGCTCGTCGCGCGCATGGCTCGGTCGCGGGCCATGCCGGATGGCCCAGCGCTCATGGGCGAGCTGACGAGGTTCGTCGTGCTGGCGCCCGGCGTGCTCGCGCCGTGCGAAGACGCCACGCTGCCAGCGCGTGATCCTCGGCGCCGCAACGATGAGGGTGCCGCGAGAGTCGACGAAGTGTCCTTCGTCTCGGCGCCGTCGAGGCGCACGCTGAAGCTGCTCTGCGAGTCATCTGCGGCGGTGCTGGGCCGCGCAGTCGCGCCGTGCTGGTCGACGATGGCCGAGAGCGTGTTGCGCACGAACTGATTGCGCGTCATGCGGTCTGCAATGTCCGCGACGTGCAGGTCGGTGTTGAGCAGCAGGAGGGAGAAGACGAGCGAGTGCACCACGTCGGCGCTGCTGTACAGCGACGTCGGGTTGCACGCCCAGAAGCGCTCGCTGAACGCATGCAGGATGCGGTCCACTTGCTGCGTCTCGGCGCGCAGAAAGAGCTTGTCGCACAGCTTGCGGAAGGCGCTGTCGATGCGCAGGCCGGTAAAGTCAAAGTTGGCCATGTAGTGCGTGCGCGCCAGCTGCCGCATTCGCCCCCTGCCACAAGTTGTCAGCTGTGCTACATGCTGCGGCGCTAGGAAGCACTCACAGGCCGCCAAGAGACTCTGCAATCTTCTCCTTCTTGACTGTGCCCTCGTCTTCGGCCCAGCAGCGAGCAGCAAGGTCCTTGGCCTTCTCCTCCGTGCCAGCATCGTCCATGTCGCTGCCAAGCTCGCTGCTGGTCTGGCCGGGCCGGCCGGCCTGCAGGCCAGGTGAGGCCGTGCGCGTCGGCGCACTGCTGACGGAGGCGCGACTGCCGCGTCTCGTCGCGTTCGGCAGCGGCAGCGGGCCAAGGTCAGAGACGTCGCGCGCGTGGCCAGACACGCGAGACACAGGTCCAGACGGCACGGCGTCGGTCGGAGTTGGCGGCTCCTCGAGGCTTGGGCGGCGGGGCACGAGGCGAATGGACATTTCGGGGTCCATCGAGTCGTCCAGCTCCTCCTCCTGGTCCGCAACGCCCAGCACCGAGGCGGCCGATGGCCTGCGCACGGTGATTGGCGCCAGCTCTGGCATGGTGCGCATCGAAGTGGACGCAGACGCAGTGGCCGCAGTGAGTGCGGCACTTGACGCACGCGACTCTGCGCGGCGCAAGAACATGGAGCCAGGATCCACGGCCGTCTCAAAGGTGCGGTCACTGCGGGCCGAAGCACTCTCGGCGCGCGAGAGGTGGCCTACGCTGTTGTGACCGGCCGAGGCCATCGAGTCGCGACTGAGCTCGTATGCGCTGGTGCCGAGTGCGTCGAGGGAGACGTCGGCCATGCCCGGCAGGGAGTTGGGGCGCGGCTCGGACAGAGAGCTGCCGCCGATGGGGAGATCGGAGCGAGACTGCTCGCGGGCAGTGCGCGTGTAGGACTCCGGCTGCGAGCGCATGGTGCCTGACCACGAACGCTGCGTGCCGAGGCCGATGCGCTGCTGCATCTGCATACTGCCGTCCATGCGCGGCGTAGTCGGGTCCTGCGATGCAGCGTCTTGCGTGTCGTACGACTCGCTGGAGCGCATTCTTTCCTCCTCATCCTCCATGAAGCTGCGCTGTCGGCCTCGTTGCGGGCCCAAGCCTTCGATACTCGGCAGGCGCGGACTGGGGGTCCACGATGGCGGCGGCGCAGCGATGTGCGTCTTGGCATCGAGGTCCTGAGCGCTTTGCCCAAGCGTCTCGTCCATTTCCGTCTCCCACGCGCGAATCGTATGCCGCAGCTCGCTGCCGCTGGAGTTTGAGCCGCCGGCGGCTGAGTCGGCCTTGCGCACGTGCGTCTGCGCCGGCGTGCGAGCGACCGGCGCAGCGTCTTCCGCGCCTGCAAGCCCATACGTGGCAGAACGCTGTGGCCCGTCTTGCGTCGCCCGTCCAGTGCCCACGACAGGTGTCGAGCCGGCACGCACGGGGTCCTTCGGCGCCGGCATGGGCGGCAGACCAAGGCCCACCGCCTGCTCCTTTGCCTTCCGCCGTGCCGGACTCTTAGGCCCTTTCTGATTGGCCCACTGCGACGGAATGACGGGCACCGGCTCCTCGACGGCGCCGCGCGGGTTGAACTGGTCAGACGTCATGGCTGGCGAGCTGGAGCCGGGTACACTGTGCGTGCTCGCTGCCACGCTCAGGCCGCCATCCGATACGAAGCTGCTATGACTCGCTTGCCGGCGTATCTGACCAGCGGGCGGCGCCAGCTTGCTCGTCTTGCTGTCCTTGCTGCTGCCGCTGCTCGCGTCGCCGCCTCGGAGCTTGCGCAGAAAGCCGCTCGTCTTCTTCATGCGCTGGCTGAAGAAGGTGCCGCTGGCTGACCGGTCGGTGCTCGGGTCGGGACTGTTCATGGCCACCTCCTGCGCCAGACTGACGCTGCCGTTTGCTGGAGACACGGCAAAGGTTTTGCTCTCGAGCTGTGCATCGCTGCTCTTGCTGCTCGAGCGCGGGAAAGGCACCGCGGGCGAGGCGGCTCTCGGCTCGATCGCAGACTGCGTTATGCCCACAGTGACAGCCTCCTCTTTCGGTGGAGGCGCTGGCGGCCGGGCAGTCTGCGTGCGGTTGCGCGCTGCTTGCGCAAGCCGCTGCGTGGTCGGAGACGGCGGGGGCTGCGTCGCTGGCTGCTGCTGCTGCTGCTGCTGCTGCTGCTGCTGCTGCTGTTGCTGCTGCTGCTGTCGTCGCAGTGAGGAGGAGGTACGCGGCGAGCCGCCGAGCGGGTGGATCGGCAGATCAGACTGCGAGCTTGCGGGACTGGCACCTCCTTCTGGAGGCGTGGCGTAGCGCCGGCCGCTGGCGACGCTGTTGCGCGTGCTCGCGCTCGGGCTGCGCTCGACGGCGCGTGGCGGACGAGGCGGCGCCGGCGTGCTGAGCGTGGCGCCCGAGCTGGACGAGCCCTGCTTCATGCGCGGCGTCGACTGCAGCGTGGGTGTGGCGTCTGTGGTGGACGAGGCGGTCGAGTCGGTGCTCAGCCTCGGCACAGGCTCACTGGCAGCCACTGCAGCCGCTGCCGCCGCCGCTCGGCGGTAGGCGCCTGCGACAGACGACGAGGCGGTGGAGAAGCGCGGCGAGGCGGGCGGCGAGGCATCGTCGAGCTCTTCGCGCTCCTCCCAGCGCGACCGGCTCGGCACGGGCATGGCGGCGACGATGCGTCTGGCCGGCGTGCTGGCGCCCGAGTCTCGGCTGCCTCGCGATGCCGGCCGCACCGCCTCGTCGGCCAGACTCTTGCCGCCGCGCGCCTCGAGCTCGCGGCGCAGATCCTGCTCGTCGCGCGCCACGTGGGCTGTTTCGGAGAGCACCCACGTCTCGTCGCTGGCGAGGAGCGTCTCGAACGGCTTGCCGATGCGAGCGGCCCCACTGCTGCCGCCGCCGCCCGAGCTGTGCTGGCTGCTGCTGCCGCCGCTGCCGCTGCCTGCGCGTCTGCGGCCGGAAGCAGCAGGCACGTTGGGCTCGAGATGCTGCAGGCGCTTGGCCGTGAGGCCCGAGGCGTCGCTGTCGACACTGGCGCCCGTGGCGCTGGAGTAGGACGCGACGGTGCTGGCGGTGCCCGGGCGCGCGGCACTGCTGCTGCGAGCGCCGCCGAGAGCGCCCCAGCGACTGCGCGATGAGGTGGAGCCCGACGAGGCGGTGGCCTCGGAAGAGGACGAGACGCGCGGTGCGCCGGCCGACGAGGCACTCGCAGCGCGCAGCGAGGGCATGGCGCGCCGCGAGAGGGTGGGAGAGAGTGTGGGCAGCGGCGGGCGCGGCGAAGAGTGAGAGCGAGGCTGCGTGCGGTAGCCGTGTGAAGAGGCGTGGAAACGAGCAGCAGAGAGCAGCGAAGGGCACGAGGGGTATGAGGAGAGTGAGGCGAGACGCGCGCCCGACGTCGAGGTGGGACGGAGAGGCGCACGAGCGTGTCGCAGCGCCTGGCCTTAGCGCCGCGTCTGGCGCGCCTCGGCTTGCTGCGCGCGCGGCGTTGGCCGACGTCGGCGCCTGCCCTTCTCACGTCCATCGCCGCCAGCTACAGCGGTCCGGAGCACACACAGCTCACGCACGGCCGTGTCGCCGCTACCGCAAGCCTGGCTGCAGCTCGGATCTGAGAGAGAGACGGCGCCGGCGGCAGGCGCCGTCCAGCTGTCCAGCACGGCGTGGGCGTGGGAGGGGCAACCCGCATTCCGAAGCCCCTGATGCGCGCAATACAAACTGGCCGCCGCCCACTTCAACGGCGATTAGCACTTTTCGACGCCGCGCAAAGCACAGCACAGCCTGTGACTTTCGCGCTTCGCTCCGCCTGGGCTGCTGCTGCGCCTCGAGCTCGAGCCCCTCGCATCTTCACCACCTCATCCTCCTGCTCCGTCTGCCCACGCCGCGTCACCTTCGGCCTCCACCCTTCGTTCCTGTCCGCGTGCCTGTCGCCCTCGTCGCTCGCTGCGCGACGCTGTCCGGTCGTCCGTGCGCTTGCAGCGTGACCACACGCGCCGCTCGTCTTCGTCGCTGCGCCTCCTCGCTTCCTCCGCAGCACGGCGCCTGGTGCGCCGCCATGCATCGTTCATAGGCTGCCTGCGTCGCCTATCTGCCCTGCTCGAGCGCTTCGGCCGCCACGCGTCTGCCCGGCGTGACCCACTGCTGGCACGTTTGCCCCAGCTGCTGGCCCCGTGCGGCCTCGCTAGCCCACGATGTCGTTCAACTTCCGCTGGCCGACCTTCTCGCCGGCCTTCCACGCCGATGCCGTGCGCATGCTCGACGGCGCGCTGAACCGCGGGCCGAAGCCCAAGGTCATTGCCGATGACATTCGCGTGCACGAGCTGGGCATGGGCACGATTGTGAGTCCGGCCCGCAACTGGCCTCATGCTGCTGGCTGCTTCGTGCGGAGAGAGCCACAGCTCACGAGCTTCTCTGCCAGCCGCCCGAACTGGAGATCCTCGAGATTGGTGACCTCTCCACCGATCGCTTCCGCGGCATCTTCCGCCTCACCTACGCCGGCGATGCGCACCTCGTCCTCTCGACCAAGGTGCAGGCCAACCCGCTGGCGCCCTCTACGTCGGCCTCGCCCAGCGACCTCTTCCCTGCGCCCGGCCGCGGCATTCTCTTTGCCGCCGCGCCGCTCATCGTGCCGATGCAGCTGCGCCTCAGTGCCGTGCGCCTCAAGGCCATCGTCGTGCTCGTCGTCTCGCGGCAGAAGGGCATCACGCTGGTGTTCAAGAACGACCCGCTCGAGAGCGTCGACGTGAGCAGCACGTTTGACAGCGTCGCCGTCATCCAGAAGTACCTGCAGTCCGAGATCGAGGGCCAGCTGCGCGAGATGTTCCGCGAGGATCTGCCGGGCATCATCCACCGCCTGAGCCAGCGCTGGCTCAGCAGCGAGACGGAGCGCGTCAGTGGCGATGCCTCGCAGAGCGCCGATGCGGCCGCAGGAGGTGTGCCGCCTGCAGTGCCCGTGGGCGGCTCGGGCGCCGTAGCTGCGCCGCCGCCGCATGCTGCAGAAATGCACGCTGCGCAAATGGCCAGCTCGCCGCCGAGTAACCGGCAGGCAGATCACGAGACTGCGTCGGCTCTGGGCGGGCCATCCTCCTCGCGACGGCGCAGCAACTCGCGCGTCAGCGAGGCACCTCGCGCGCCGGCGTCGACAGCAGGAACAGCGACCATGTCGCGCTCACCTTCCAGCGCGCGCAATCGGCGAGGCTCGCGCAAGTCGCTGCCCAAAGCCGCCTCCACGTCTGCCGTGCCGCAAGCGGGCCCTTCGGTGCGGGGCGCCGAGCCGCGCTACTCCTTCGGCTTTGGTCTGGGCGGCTGGGGCGCCGCGGACGGGCTTGACGACATCGAGTCGTACGATCCGACGTATGGCCTGCGCCCCGACGCCTTGCGCGCGCCCGTCAGTAGCGGCTACAGCGGTCTGGCGCGCCTGGCGACGCAGGCAAAGGGCGGACTGCGAGACTTGACGAGTCTTGGCTCAAGTCCGAAGGCAAACACGACGGGCAGCTGGGCAGGTCGCAGTCCCGATGACTCGCAAGCTGTGCTCGATGAGTCCGACGATGCACTGGACGAGGCAGTGGACGATGTCGGCACGAGCGAGGAGGAAGGCTCGCCTTTGCCGGCTGCGTCGCGTGCGCTGGAGCACGAGCACGAGGTCGATCTCGATGGTCTCGATGCGATCCACGGGCCCGACAGCGAGAGCGACGAGGAGAATGGCTCGGGCGCCGATCTTTCGCGCTTTGGCTATCCGCCTCCCAGCGCTGCGTTCAGCGACACGGCCGTCGAGGCGTCTGTGCGCCGCTCTGCCTCTCTGTTCGGCGCGCCTACCGCGCCCGCCTCGCCCGCAGGCACGTTGCGAGGCCGCGCGTCGTCGTCCGTCAGTGGCGCCACTCCGCGTCCCTCGAAGCCCAGGCGTCAAATCTACGACACGATCCCGGCAGTCGGCGGCGGCACCGTGACGCAGCCGCGCGTCTATCACATTGCGAGCCGCGTGCAGGCGCCCGAGATCGATGAGGACGACGATCCGTACGAGGACGAGGAGGAACGCACGGCCAGGCTGGCTCGCAGCAATGCGGGCGCGACCAGTGCGGCGGCAAGTAGCACTGTGCGCGGGCCCGCCAGCACGCGCACGTTTACGCTCGGGGGAGGCGGAGCGCCCAGCGTCCATTCGCCACTGGCGGCGCCCTTTGAGCCGACGCAGCGCGACATCCATGCCGGGCGCTTCGACTCCGACGAGAGTGGCGAGTGGGATGATTCGTCGCACCACTCGCATTCGCACTCTCGCTCCGCCTCCGTCTCGGGCGACGGCTCGCTCGCGACGTTGGAGCCGGAGCCGATGGACCCACGCTCGACGGCCTACCGCACGCAGCTGTACCGTCAACGCGGCGCCGGCTTCTACCGGCCCGGCTACGGCAGCAGCGAGACGGCGTCGCAGTCTGGCTCGGCGAGCCTGTCGGGCACGAGCAGCTCGCGCTCTCGCAGCGGCGTCTACTACGGCGCCGCTGGAGCACGTCCCTCGTTGGGCCGGCATACGCCGTCGCACAGCACAGCACCTACGTCGCAGTACCCTTCGACGCACGACATTGCCTCTACTGTCAACGGCGGCGGCGGCGGCGGCGGCAAGGCTGCACTGCCATCTCTGCACCTCCCCGAGCGTGCGCCGCAGCGGCCCATGAGTCTCGATGCCTCGGCCCACCTCGCCGAGCTCGTCAACTCCAACCACACGCTCAGTCCCTACACGCGCACGCTCGAGACGCGCGGCTTTACCGTGCGCTCTGCGCCCGTGACGCCGGGCGGCAGCGCACATGCAAGTGGCGCAAGCACGCCGGCTCTCTCCTCTGCCGGTGCCTCTCAGTACGGTTCCTCCTCGACGGACATGCACGCCGTCTCTGTTGCTGCCTCTCGCTCTCGCGCTTCTGCTTCCGACCGTGCTGCGCCAGACGCAAGACCGACACCTCATCGTCGACGCACCTTCAAGCTGGGCGGCAGCTCGAAGAGCGACGTCTCGGCGCCGGCGTCGGAGCACGCTACGCCCACGCGTCCCGGCATGCAGAGAGCGGCGACGGAGCGTCCTGCCGCCACGCATGCGCATGATGCGAGAAGCTCGACGAGCTGGGGCGCTCCTCCAAGCGAGAACAGTCATCGTTCGTCGGACTCTACGAGCATGAGACGCGCGGCGTTACTGCAGCAACAGCAACTCGCTCAGCAGCAACAGCAGCAGCAGCAGCAAGGCGGCTATGAGGACGATCAAGCTGCGCTGCAGCAACAGCACCAGCAGAAGGGCTTTGCGCCGTACGCAGGCAGCGGCCCAAAGTCCTTCGTCGCCACGCCGACGGCGGAGACACCCGTGAGGCGCCGCTCCGGACGCGCGTTCGTGCCGCCCAGCGAGGCGGCGCTGCCAGGTGCTTCGCGCTGGGCTGCGATTCGCGAGTAAGAGGCTTGCGGTGGCGCGCGCGCGCGCGCGCCACGCACTTGCTTCGAGCTGTCGCAACGTTGGCTTCTCGTCTCTTCCTGCGTCTTCACCACCTCTCTCCTCACGTGCACCCTCTCACCTCTCACTGCTTCTCATCAGCCCGCCTCTCAACGTGCCCTTGCCCACCTCTCTCACCCCCCCCCTCACGCCCTCTCTACTGTATTCTAGACCACTGCTTCAAATTTGCTACCCACTGCCCTTCTCACCCTTCTCTGCCTGCTTGCCCTGCTGCTGCTGCTGCTGCTGCTGCTGCGACGGCGCCGGCCTCTTCCAGCCATCGACGGCGCTCTTGCCGTAGCGGCGCTCCTTGCTTGCCTCTGCGCCCTTGCCGCTGCGCGTCTGGTCCAGCACGCGGAAGAGGGAGCGCGAGGTGTTGGGTCCTAGCTGTTGAGAAGGAGGGCGTGAGCTAATGCTCCCTGATCAGCAATGCGGCTGTATGGAGGCAGGCGTACCTCGGAGTCCCACTGAGGCAGACATGGAGAGGGTCAGCAAAGAACAGGCAATGCCAGCCAATGCAGCTCTCTGCTCCAGCCACTCACGGAGCCACCGCGTGTAGGCACACTGGCCGGGCCTCCATCGCGCTCGAGCAGGCGGGCGCGCAACGCTGCGTCGCGCTCGGCGTGTGTGAGGCGGCGCGGCTGCGAGGCGGGGAGAGGCGCGGGCGGCGGTGGTGATGCTGGTGATGGTGGTGATGCTGGTGATGCTGCGGCGGCGACGTGTGCTGTGCTGCTGGAGGCGGAGACGGAGCTGGAGGAGGCATTGGAGGCGCAGGCGACACTGCTGGGCCGAGGCCCAGCGCTGCCGGCGGCACGCGAGAGGCGCCGAGTGGAGGAGCAGCGCGCGAGAGGGAGCAGAGGAGGCAGACGAGCGGCAGACGAGGGCAGCAGCATGGCGCGCGTAAGGAGCCAGGAGCGGGGCTGTGCGGGTGAGGGGATGTGAAGTGAGGCGCACGAGGCACGGAGATGAGATGCGAGATCAGCGTGGTGGTGGATGGGAGGCAAGAAGAAGCAGCAGCCAGACGGCATCGCGGCGCGCGGCGGTGCGGTTGCTGATGGCTCGTGCATCTTCGCTTCAAGTTCGCGGCGCTTCTCCACGCCGCGCTGACTTGCTTCCGCACCACCACCCACTTCACGCAACCCTCTCCGGCCCCACTCTCTCTCCAAATGGCCGCCTCGGCCGCCGCTGCCTCCTCCTCCTCCGCCTCGGCGCCGCTCGAGCCTCGGCATGACTTCTACCAGTCTGCCGCAGCCGTCACTGTGTCGCTCTACGTGCGCGGCCTGCAGGCCTCGGATGTTTCGGTGCACTTCGACGCCGACTCGGTACGTCTCTTCTTGCCCCTCCCTGCCCTTCTCTCCATCCCGCCCCTCGCTCACCACAGCACATCAACAGGTGCATGTAGAGATCGCAAAGCCAGCGCACTACGTGCTGCATCTCGCGCCCCTCTTTGCCAGCATTGATGCGCAGGCGTCAAGCTGCAAGGTGCTCGCCTCGAAAGTGGAGCTCAGCCTGCTCAAGCGCGAGGCGAGACAGTGGCCCAGCTTGACTCGCAACGACGGTGCGTTCTTCCGTCCTGGCTCTCCTTTTCATTGGCCGCAAAGCTCTCTCTCTCTCTCTCTGACACTGCGGCCTGCGCAAACAGACGCGCCAGCTGCCTCGCTTTCCACTGCCTCTCAGTCCGCCGCACCTGCGGCCAAAAGCAAGCCGCGCAGCACCTCCAAATGGGACACTCTCTCCAACTTCGACGACGCCTCCAACGAGCCTGCCGCCGCGGGCGCCGGCGACGCCGCCTCTCTCGATGCTTTCTTCCAGAAGCTCTACGCCGACGCCGACGCCGACACGCGGCGCGCCATGATGAAGAGCTACTCGGAGAGCGGCGGCACGTCGCTGAGCACCAACTGGAACGAGGTGGGCAAAAAGAAGGTCGACGTCGTCCCGCCCAAGGGCATGGAGGGGAGGAAATGGGATCAGTAACTGGCGTGGGAAGCGAGCGTGTGCAGGAGTGAGTTGCGGGGGAAAAGGCAGACGTGGCAAATCCACGAGGTGAGAGGAAGTGGACAATGGTCGATGGACTAGGCTGGGTTTTGTGCGTTGCGACGAAAGGAGCGGGTACACTGCAAGAGCAACCTGCAACGCGACGTGGTCGACGTGTAGAAGGGGGCGAAG